TATTTGAGTCACTGTGTCTGTTCATGTGCCAGCCGAAATGTTGTTGTTGTCACGTAAAAGCGGCAGCAGATGGCAGGAGCTGCATTTGAAGTGCCGTGCGTCTCCTCCACAATCAACTTTCTATAAATGTTTCACAATAAAAGCCTATTTAGAAAATGGAGGGATTCTCTCAGCCGGGGTTATAAGGGGCTTTTAATTTGAAACAAGTTCAGGGAGTGTTGAGTTTGAAATGACGGTGCGATATGTTAACTTTATAAAGACAACGGAGTGGATAAAAAGTAAATATATAAACACACAGAGGGATTAATAAATAACGGACCGTCTGTAATGTAGTCTGTTTCACATGAAGCTGGGAGCCTCTGCAGTTGTGGTGAGTAAAAGCCCCGCCGCTATTTGTTAATGTTATTACTTTATGTCCGTCTCTGTTATGAGGATGTACCATTGTTTGCTAGCTTGATGCTAATGACAGTAACGTTAACTCAGCGGGTTGACAAAGTGCCTCTGCTGTTTCACACCATCATTTCCCCCTTTTACTCTGTGTGGTAACATCCCTAGAGGAAATATTAAAAACGCTGGGTTGGGAGAATTGGATCTCAGTGAAGGGCAAGTGGTCTGTGACTTTAATTTTGTAGACAGAAAAATGTAGGATTAGCGCCCTGTGGTCCATTGCCCAATAGGAAATGTAGAATACTCAAAAGTACTTTAAAAGTGCTTGAGTTACTTTTCTCAGGGAGTAACATGGAAGCAGGGGCGATTCTAGGATCAGAGGTTTAGGGGTGCTCAGCACCCAGAGAGCTGCCCGGCCAGGCAAGATAAATTTTACTGTTTTGTACATTTTAACTCAATTTCATTCCCACATTTGTGAAAGAAAAACACTTTTTGGGAAAGTCTGTGACTAAACCATCAAATCTGATAAAGGTTATTTAAATGCTGAGCCACAGCAAAAGAGGAATGGATTGGAATCATAAAAGAAACATATCGTAACCCTAATTTCTCGGGGAGGACAACTCATTTTGATACAGCAGCTCCTCAACATACACATAAACAGTATGTATGTTTCTGGACAGTGGCGGCTGCTGGTCTTTCAAGGAGGGGAAGCTCATTTTCGGCCTACATCATAAAATGCGTATATTTATTTATACATAAATTCTACCCTCTGGGGCTGCTGCGCGAGGCTAGTGTGACCGCCTGTGAGTGCTTTGGGACGTTGGAGGGGCTCACAGCAGCACCCGCTGCTCGTTGGGGACAGTAACTGCAGAGCGACAGAAGTCAGAGTCTCCAAACACGAGTACAGTCTCCAATAACACCAGAAAAAGATGCTAGATTTGTCGCTAGTCGTTTTTATGTCGTTTTAAATAAAAAGTCACTAAGAGGATTGGAGAAATCTCCAGATCAACTCGGAACAATGGAATGAAATGAAACTTGAAAAATGCTCCGGTGGTGGTTTATAATTCAAGATCGCTGATTCGCTCATTTGGCTGTCAATCAAAAAGGGATTCAGCCTCAGACAGATCATCCAATCATCATGCAGAAGCCCAGCGTCCAGGCCAGCCAAGGCTAGCCCACTGCCCCATAGACCCCCAGAGACGCTGAGCGTCCGATGGGTGGGACAAAGCATTTATCCAGTGACTGTCTAGTTTCGCTGCAGTGGAACAACCCACTCTATACTTCCCCATTGAAGTCTTTGGATGCTGAGCTTCCACTGTTTAATGCACTGTGACGCTACGGGAATGAATGAGAAGAAAGTAACGTCAGTGACCTGTGATAAGTAGCTGATTCTGAACAAAAGTTGAACGTGTTCTAGCGCATATTTAGTCAATGAAATGTAAACACAACAGTACATATTTGACCACTTATTTTTTGACATTTTAGGGGAAGCTGAGCTTCCCTTGCAGTCTTAGAGCAATCGCCACTGTTTCTGGAGTAAACCTACGGAAGCCCTAAACGGTCATTCATACATACATTTTATTTCCACCATCATTTCGCTGAGCCATAGTTGTAATATTTCTCTTACCATGTTGTTTTGCTGTGAAATGGTAATTCTGCCAGTAAACATTCCTGGTAGACGGACATGTTGTGTTGTGTTCAAATGAATCCGGGTGAACATGACTGGCGTTAGGTTCTGTCCCCACAACAGCGTTCTGCTGACTCTGATTGGCTTACAGTGCTGTCAGTCTCGTTTTGGTGGGTAGCAGAGACAACTGGCAGAGGCCGTCATTACCACCATCCGAGGGGAGCCCTTGGAGGTGGTGGGGGAGTACAGGTATTTGGGCACAATTTTCGATGGCCTTCTGAGGTTTTCCTCTAACACGGAGGAGTGTTAGAAGTGCCACCAGAGACAATATCTGCTCAGGAAGCTGAGATTGTTTGGAGTGAATAAAGACATTCTCCTGACCTTTTACCACTCCTTCATCGAGAGCGTGCTAACATTCTCATTCATCTCCTGGTTTTATTCAATCAGCCTGCAAGATCGGACATGCTTATTTAGCATCACCAAAGTCTGCTCCAAAATCATTGGACACCCTGTTAGAGCTGTTTTCTGCTGTCTGCTTTCTGTGACCAACAAATAATACGCACTGTTCACAGGATCCTACACGACCCCTCACACACTCTACACTCAGTGTTTGAGTGGCTCCCATCAGGACGCAGGCTGCGTTGTCCACACTGCAGAACACAAAGGAGGAGGGCCACCTTTGTCCCCACAGCAGTCCAGAGCCGTTTCTCAATATGCGTTCTTGTGCATACTTGTGTTCTTGTGACACGTCATCAGACACAGCCCAAGTACTGTTCCAATTCAAAGTTCACATCTAGCCAAGTTCAGTCCGAATGCCCGGATGTGTTCTCACCACGCCCCTTTTACCGGGGATGAATCGGAGCAGACTTGTGTGGACTTAAGACAGCCAGGTATCCCAGCATGCATTTCGTAACAATCATTGGAAATGGCGAGTGCATATCATGGAGGAATGAGGGCAGAGAAATAACCCTATTGCTGTGAGAAAGTGGAGACAAAGGTTACGCATTGTAACAGTCCAGTGAGGCGCAGAATAGGGAAATGCGTGCATTCGAATCCCCCCAATATTCATCACTCTGACAGAATACTCAGAACAGAGTGAGTCATAGGAAAACGGGAAACGTCCTGCAGGTAAAAGCGAATGAAAGAGCAGGGGGAGGACCAAGAAGCCGCAGTGCAAATGTCCTCCACTGTCATTCCTGGAGGATGAAATTCCTCTGGAGTGCGCTCTAATGCCCTCAGGGGGGTCCACCCCAGATGAGAGATATGCCTGTGAAGCAGCCTCACACAGCCAGTGTGACAGGTGCTGTGCAGACAGAGGAAGCCCCTGAGATTGCTCTCTGTAATCCACGAACAGACGCTGTGAGCGGCGTGAGGCAGCCGTGCGCTCAACGTAGATGGCCAGCACATGTACTGGGCAGAGAAGATGAGACGTGGCCTCCTCCACAGACTTGTGGGGAGAGGGAAAGAACCCCTCCAGAGTTATCACTCTCGATCTGAACGAGCTAGAGATTTTTAGGCATGAAAGCCGGGTTTGGACGCAGGATAGCTGAGCTACCATCTCCCTGTATCCTGACCAGCTGCTCCCCCTGCCAGACAGGAGGTGGGGCAGCTGATCCTCTGGTGCAGTCAGAAGCAGGTTCAGCTCAGAACCACTTGGAGCTGAACCCGCTTCTGACCATAGAAGCTCTCGGGACCTGAAGTGGACCTCCCACATAAACACTGTCTGGAAAAAGGCCCAGCACAACGGCAGGCTAGATGTAGACATCCTTGTTAATCTTATTCACATTGAGTTGATGTTGTGGTCTACCGCACAACTTTATCCAAAGAAGACACTTATCTCGGTTGAGATGTGGTTTAGGAAAGGGTTTAAAATACACCCCGTTGCCCACCCTCTCAGGATACCTTGTGTCGGAGTTGCATGCACCCCATGCACACCGTTTGACCATTTTTAAACTTCATAAAACCAAACAAACTGACTTTCTGTAATGCATTTCAATGAACGTCCAGGCAGAGAATGCCCCCGCGTGTATGGAATGTCTGTATGCACTGTGATTGGCTCATTGCGTTTATGGGTGGGGCTTAGACATAGGCCAATTCCGCAAAGGCTGCATGTGTGCTCGCTTCCCTCTCCTCTGAAGGCCTCCTCTCTCCTCCAAGCGCATGTAATGAATTGAGACGTCCTACAAGATGGCGAGTCTCGATCGAGGATAGAGGACAGAGGAGTCAAGGAGGGATATTGGGATGAACCCCAGGAATTGTGTACAGACCTTTGCAACATGGGGTTGTGCATTATCATGCTGCAACACAAGGTCATGGTGGTTAATGAATGGCATGACAGTGACTCTCAGGATCTCATCCCAGTATCTGTGTGCATTCAAACTGCCATCAATAAAATGCACCTGTGTTCACTGTCTGTAGCTTATGCCAGCCCATACCATAACCCCACCGCCACCATGGAGCACTGTGTTTACAATGTTGGCATTAGCAATGCCAGTAGTGGCTGATTTCACAAGATCTTGCAAATGAAGACAATGGATGTGGAGGTCCTGAGCTAGTGTGATTACAACAGCTCTGGTGGACATTCCTATGGTCAGCATGCCAACGTCACGCTCCCTCAAAACTTGTGACATCTGTGGCATTGTGTTGTGTGATCAAACTGCACATTTCAGTGTGGCCTTTTATTGCAACCATCCCAAGGCACACCTGTGCTTATGCTGTTTAATCAGCATCTTAATATGCCACAACTGTCAGGTGGATGGATTATCTTGGAAAAGGAGAAGTGCTCAGTAACACAAATTTGCAACCTAAATGTGAGAGAAATGTATTTATTGAGTGCATAAAAAGTCTTAGATCTCAAACTTACCCATGTGAAAATTGAAGGCAAAAACAGAAGTGCTGCATTTGATTTTTTGTTCAGTGTAAATTCTGTGAATGACTTGCATGAGATTCCTCAAAACGCTGACTCTGTCTGGACTGAGATTCCAGTGCAGAATTCATAAAGGGAGTATCTGAGTAAAATTTATGATAGTTCAGACTTGATTTTTTAATTTTTTTTTATTTTCACAACATCTTAAATAAGTTACAAAATTTTAAATAAATGAAAAATAGAAACTAGCTACAAAATATACACACAATTACACAGGTACATGTGTAGAGAGACATTTTGTGTTTTGGCTTCAGCAACAAAAAGTAAATATATTAAACCTTTATTTCTGTGTGTATGTATTAATAAGTTTAGCTGATGAAAGCAGCTGTGTATCTCTAATATGTGGCATACTGAGAATTATTCTACTGGCTGTGGAAGGAAAGCTCAGCTGAGACATCGATTGTAGCTTACGTTGTCTATCTTTGGCTTCAACACACAATTATCAGCATGAGCTTTCACAAACAGGCGTTAGTCAAACCTCGTGTGTATTAAGTCCTTTGGGTGAGGGGGGCTGTTATGGAGGGGTCAGGAGTGGGGAGGACTACACCCTGTCTCTGGAGATGTCTCAGGATGTCCAAGATGGAGTCCAGCTCCTGACGGAAAGCCTCCAACTCTCTGCTCTTGTCCTGAGCCAGACGCTTCCAGGTCTCCACTTCTGACTCCTGATCAGCCTCCAACGTCTGCCACGATCCGCCAATCACCTGCAGAGAGGGACGGACAGTTACTGAGGTCAGCCAGTATTTTTGTTCAGTAAGGTTAAGGTGAAGATCACGAGCCACCTAACAATACACTGTATATCTCTGATACTGTTCACTGCATCTGTCATCTACATCACCACTGATTCATCAAAATACTGGTCAGACCTTTCCCAATACGAGATCTTTAGTGGAGCTTTTGTTTCCACTGTGCTCCGCCCTCTAAACCAAGTTCCTGAACCTAAATTTAAACTCTGCTAAGGATGAGGTACTAAATCCAAGTCTAGGCCTTTTAGATGGGCACAACAGCTGGATTCCAATTAATAACACAGGACAGTAGTGGGGCAGTGTCACCAAATGTTTCATTACTAGATTTTATATTGTCTTAATGAAACAAAGAAAAGTTTAGGAATGATTTTCTACCCCCATTTTAGCACCATCATGTCCTCATCTTCTAATTTGGGACAGAATCAGCCTGATGATGATAATTGATGAAATAAAGCAGAGAGAGCGGTGACTGACCTGTCGTGTAGGATGCATCCACCTCTGGCTCTTTTGGTCTAAAGTCAGTCTACTTTATTTTTCTTCAATTTTGCCAAACTCCTACTCTGGGAGGAGCTTCTATTAATTCAGCAATACTGATTTTTTTAGAGTCACTACAGCTCCTGGTTACAGGTCCCTAAGTTTCTATATCAGAGAGGCCTCTGTGGAACTCAAGAGAACTCTGAAGTGACCCCAAAACCACCTCAAATATGACTTTTCACAAAGAAGCAAACAATAACAGGGCTACACAGTGAAGGTCAGGGGCCCAGGGCCATTAAAGCATTATAGAAACAGTAAATTGTGCCATCATTTGTACCTGCTGCAGCTCCTTCTCTCTGTGTTGGTGTCTGAGCTCCATGTTGAAGATCTTCCTCTCCAGACTACACAGGAGTTTCACCTCTGGGCTCTGAGCTTCTTTAGCTTCCTTCAGCTCCTTCAGCAGTCGGGTTAGCTGGACACAAAGCAGCGACTTCATATTAAAATCATAAGAAAAATACTTAAAATCATTTACTTTCTATATTCTTTCAAATTAAATGTGATCACCCAGTACAGAAACAGATTCATCTTAAAATATGACTATTGACGGAGGGGAGCTCTCTATTAAAGTCAAAAGATGTACATAAAATATCCCATCCAGAACACGTTTAATGCCACTTCGCCTTGTAATGACACTTGTATCATCCCTGCACTGCAACTCAGGTACCCAGTGTTACTGAGGATGTCCCACTGTGAGGACTTTTTGGAAACATGTTCTCAGGTTTGAGTTACATCTTCTACGAACCAAATTACCAAATTATTGCAAACTAATGATTCTGAATAACACATTTTCTTTAGATCACTCAACCTGGCAGAAAACAATCTTGCTAGCTGGTGTTACAGCTGCTAAAAAGATGCTGGTAAAGGATTGGAAAACTGCTGTCATGCCCTCTGCTTCTTCTTCTATCTCTCCTCACCTGGAGCCTCTTGCCCCTTGTGCATTCAAGAAATGCTGTATGACCTAAGTGGGTCTAAATACTGTGTCAATAAGTACCTTTACATGCACAGTTAAGTCGAGGTACGGTTATAGCTCGACTATTACTGTCCTCGTCCCAGTATACAAGCGCAGGAGTCTTGTGGCAGGTAAGGAAGGGGTTTGGTCACTACTGGGGTGAAGGTGGGATGAAATTTTATTGCTTTTAAAAACAAAATGTATCACAAATAAAAATCCTGAAGACAAATAATAAGCAAAATAACCTTTAAACTATAAAGAAAAGTTTCTTGCATTAAAAAGACTAGGACAACCCCTACCTATCCCCTACCTGCTTCTGCAGAGCATCCTCTCGGGTCCTGGATATTGCCAGTGCCTCTTTAGCTCCCTGCAGCTCTTTCAGCTGGTCTTGCAAATGTTTCATGACAATCTGCAGGTAAATGTAAAGGTTAAACAGGATCGTTTGCAGCACTTCCTGTTGACATGAGACTGTTTGGTTGGTGAGCCAGTACCTCCTGAGTGCTGAGCTTATTGGCCAGTTCAGCAACCTTTGAGGATGAGTGTTCCAGGGCATGGGTGGCACGCAGCTGGTCTAACTCCCTGAGGTGCTCTGCTTTCATGGAGGACAGCTGCTCTGCAGAGCGCTCCTTTAGCCTAACAGAGCACACTACACTCAGCTGTTTGATGACATTAATGCTCTGCAGAAAATGTCGGTCCACATGTGTCCACACTGATACCTGCACAGCTCCTCCCTGGCTTGTTGAGCATCAGCCTTTAATGCGTCCCTCTCCTGCTCACTGTGCAGCTCCAGCAGCTCCAGGCGCTGCTTCAGAGCCTCGTTCTCCTGCTGAACCTCTGAGATATGACTGCCTGTCAAACATTTTAAGCAGGATTAGCATATTATTTTTGTTTTGTTTTTTCATTTTAGAGTGAAAAAATAAACATTTTGGGTGAAAAAAATAAAGGAGCACAACGCAAAAGTTTGGGCACCCCAAAACATTTGAGCTCTCAGGCAACCTTTACATTGTCTCAGACCCTGATTAGCTTGTTAGGACTATTACTACTCCTGGAAATTACAGGAATTTCTGGGGTGGTGTTTGCAGGGGTGACTGTTGCTGACTGGTCAAACACACAGAGTGCCGCTGCTTCAACTTGTTTACCGCTCACAGGCGTCATTGGCCAGTATCACAGCCTCTCACAACCAGGGTGGTGGTACTCGAGTCTGGTCTTGAGGCCTTTCTTTAATATGATCTTGGACTCATGGGTGTTACAGAAAGCTGGAAAATGCACCTAAGATTACAACTTATGTCCATCTGCATTGCTTGACATTTGGTTCAGGGTTTATATCTTTCAGTCTGACCCATGTCCAGGGAAGTCCCGATTTAAGTAAAGGACAGTAAGCACAGCTGAAGCAGCTTTGCTCCCTCAGCTGTTTTGGATATCAGGGCATATACAACATATTCTCATATTCATCGAGGCGTGCAGAGGAAAGTCAGCCAGAACAAAAGGTCCATACCTGTAAAGACAGTGGGCTGGTAGGTCTTCTCATACTGAGCAGCTGGAAATGTTTCTTCCTCTCCGTGTGTCTCTCCTGCAGTAGCAGAGCAGAGTGTTTTGGCGGGGCCTGGCTGTCGTTTGGTCTCTGTAGAACGGGTATCTGGTCGTGGGTTGGGAACAGACAACATGTTCCTCCTCTCCTTCTGCAGTCTCTCCACAGTGCGGGACAGCTCCTGAATGGTCCGTGTCTTGGAGGCAAGGTCTTGGTTCAGCCGCTCTATCCGGGCACCAAACGCTGCCTCTGCCTGATGCTGATGTCGGCCTGGACTTGGTTGAGCCTGTAAAGTACAATAAGTTTCATTTTCTGTCCTTGGTTTTGCCTTATCACAGACAGACCAAAATTTTGCATTGTCCAATGTGTCAAAAGCAAAGAATCTCACATTTCTGTGAGTTGTGTATAGTTACTGCACCTTTTACTGACACATCTCCACACACCAGCCCGTGTTACAGCTAACAGTGAGGCTAAAGCTAACAGTGAGGCTAAAGCTAAGTTAATGACTTGGGGAGCTCCTATGCTGACCTTGTGTTTGAGCTGCTGCTGGAGAGACTCAATCTGGTCCTGGAGGGAATTTTCTTTCTCTTGATGGCTTTCCTTCACATGCTGCAGCTCTTCCTCCAGTGTTTGAACCTGTGATGTCCATGGCTCATTCCCAACTCCACAGTTTGCTGCTTGCAGCTGCTGCTCCAGCTCTGAGATCTGCTGCTCATAGCGAAGCTAAACAGAGCACACAGACACACATTGAAATTTCACATTTTCTGTTTTAAGCATTTCTGTTTGTACATCTTCATGAATCCATTTCTAGAGCAAATAGTTTTCAATTACAATTTTGGTGCAGTTAATCACAATGTTCTTGTTGTGCATCAATCTTTTTTTCAATGGCAGATTTATATACAAGACAGACTGGCATACAATCTTTTATCATTGTGATGTAAATTTCAAGGAAACAATTTCCCAACAGTTTGACCCAAATCAGAAGAAATTTTTTTTCTCATTTACCTCTAGTGAGTGTTTTTAAAAAAATATTTTTTGATCTTGCTTTGCGTTCACTTGCATTTCTTCAACAAATTAAGGTTTGAAAGTCATTTGCTGATTTTTTGCTGTCATAAGATAGAACTCAAATAATAGTTCAAGTTTGATACTGAAGCAAAGCAGCAAACAGCTCTGTGAATCTTGGGTCTTGTTTACTTGCTCAGCTTTTTTAATAAGTTAGAAAAGTTTTAGATATTGTTGACAGATATCACACATTAATACTGTTTATGTCTTGGTTTTATAGAGTTTTGTTGGCTGTATTTTCATCACACTGCTGAAAGAGACATTTTGGTCTCTATTCCTACTCACAAATGTAAGAATAAATGCAATCCATAAGATTTCTTTTGACAAAAAGTCCTCTTAAATGTATCGGAATACTCTATTTTCTGAGGTAATATGTTGATTATATAATTCAGAATAGAGTTGTTTAACTATTTGCAACATCTGATAGAATCCACCACTTTTTTTGCATTCCTCAGGCAAACAAACAAGAATAAAGCTGGCATTTATTTCATGTGCAGTCAGTGTCCATGCATCTTATTCATTTATTTATTCATGAATTCATTTAACAGGGACAATGAAGATAAACACTGCTATATTTGGGGAGAAGTAAGGCATCAGATGTAATGTAGGGCGTCTCGCTGAAGCTGATTTGCAGCCCTTTCACTGTCTTCATTGTTTATTATTACATGTTTTCTCCCGATATACTTCATTAAACAGCAGCAGACTCTTCTCTCTTCTCCAGATGGTGATATTTGTTTCTGTAATAGCTAATTTCCTATGATTTAACTGGATTGTATTGTATATGTATATATCAATTTCACGTTAATTGCCACTGGTTCTATCAAACTTGCAATAACTGTTTTTTAGGCTAATTAGGGCAAATGTAATTCTTAAATTTTAGCAAAATGACAGTCCTGGTTATGAAATTGTAACTCAGTGATAATATATTTTCATTGAACATAAGTTACATGTTTACAGTGTAAAAATATATTAATCTGAAAATGTCATTTGGTTTCTTTAGTTGTACCTTGATCCTGTGGAACTGTTGCTCCATGGCTCGTAGGCTGCGCTTGGCCTCCTCATCATGACCCTCCAGCTCAGCCTCCAGACGCTGAATCCTGCGCTCCAGCAGGGTGTTGATCCTGCTGGGTGGGGCCGTTTTGGCAGACACATCTTCTTGACTGCCAGCCGTGGCTGCAGCGTAGATCAGAGCAGGCAGGGAGTTTGGGTTTCTTCGTCTTAGTATCTGCTCCAGCTCTTTCACCTGGTAAAGAGACAAAGACTCCTAATCATGAAGAGACATAAACTGGATGGGATAAGTTTGATTAATTAGTTAGGTTTTTTTGGGGTGAGAAACCTGTCGCTCCAGGTCCTGCATCCTCTTAGTGTCTGATGTTTTCTCTTTGGCTTTTCTCTGCTGCTCAGTGCTTCGTCTGCCCACATCCATTTTCAGTTTTTCTACCTGAATTGGAGAAGATTTGTTAATTCATACAAAGAAAGAGACACTTCACTGGTAAAATGTAACTGGCTTTCAACACACTTTCCTCCTCACATCAAAGCTGCAAACCCTTAACTATCCAGCAGTGTTAGAGTTTAAAGACTTAGCTCCAGTCTGGAGCCTTCTCTGGAACAATTTTGTCATTTTGGAGAGAATTTTTGTAATTTTACCAAATAGACAAAAAACACCAAAACTCTGTGATGCTGCCTTGTACTCCATGCCCCCAAAATACGAGGCAATACAACACTCACTCCAATCTGGCTCACATCCACCTATCAACACATATCAAAACAAAGATCAGCTCTCAGCAGTGTGGAGAGTTCTGTCTAATTCTTTCTGACCACCACAGAGGAAACTAGAAACTATCTTGTGATGAGTTCACTCCAGCCAAAGTGGGGGGACCAACAGTCCCTTCTCAACTTCCTGCCCCCTACTTCCAGTCCCCTTGCTAGGACCATATCCATCTTCAAACTCAGCCTTCATTAACATTGCTGCTGGTTTTGCTTTCACCTTGTGCGTCTGTGTATGTCATCATGTCAAAATGCGGTCCAGGCAACAACAATTGTAACTACAACTATCACAGAAGCTATTTAAAGTGTTTTGACAGGTGTAAGTCTCTCTGTCTGTGAACATATTTTTGTTAACACAATAGCTTTGGAACTGTATAAGATGCAGTCATGAAACCTTACAGGTGTGCTGTTGAGATAAAAATAAAGTCCAAGTTCAGAGATTGGTATGGTCCGAGCAAGGACACTGGAAGTAGCAGGAATGATTCCCTCAGATCCACTTTGTTTGAATCGATACAACAGCATCCAATCAAGTTGCAGGAGAGAGCCATGAAGAACTTGCATCATGTTACTCAGTAACTCAGCTGCAGTTGCAAAAAATGATATCACAGATAAATTTGTCACCATGCAAAAACTATGTGGTGGTCAGGCCAAAAATTACAGCTGAAGATGCAACTTCAAAAAAATGTGTTTGATAAATAAGCACAAATTTTAAAGGGCATTGATGATTTTTGTAAATTTAACATATTATTTCTGTTGTTAAAATGTCATTATGTTTAGTGAGGAGCGCATCATGACTTGTTTTGGAATTAAAACTCAAAGTTTAGGATAGTGGACTTTCCTGTCTTGACTTAGTATTTGATGTGGGGCTTGGACACAAGGACTTGAGACTTTCTTGAGACTTGAAAAACAATTACTTAGTCCCACCTCTGTTGGGCACACACTACTTGGGTGGATTTTCAAGTAAATATTTTTACCCATTATTTAAGCTTAGATAAGATCCAGACGAGCACGATGATGGGTAAGCAGGCAGATCATTTTTTATCATTATGAAGTCATCTTTTGAAGTTAATAAATGCTATGAATTAATGTGTTTCTGAAAGGTACAGAACATAAGATGAGAGGATGCTTTCAATACAATAATATATGTACTGTAAATAGTGATGGTAAAGGAGGCTCACCTGCTCGTTGAGTCGGCGTATCTCAGCTGTAGCAGCTTTCAATCTGCCAGCGTCTCTGTCCAGCAGCTCCTGGTTCTCAGCAAACCACTGCAGCTTCTTCTTCAGGGCCGTCACTTCCTCTCTGTGCTTATCCTCCAATACACACTTCTCAAAACTCTTGTCACCTGGCACATTCAGGGTGGATAAATTATGTCAGAAAAAACAAGGATCACATATACATGTACGGTATAAAACTTAGGAGCTTCCTCTAATTGTTTGATATCCGAGTTTTCAATGGTCCGTTTAAATTCCACCACTAGCACTGTTCTGAAGACAGTTTTTACCTGAGACAGACATGGCCTGAGCTTTAGCCAGGTCCCTCTCTTTTTTCATCAGCTGCAGGTCGACCTCCAGAGCCTGCTTCTCCTGCTTCAGTCTGTGAATGTCCTCAGACAGCTGGGCCTCATTGCTCTGCACACACAAACATATCTTTCAAGAAACTGTGGGGGCTGAAACAGAACTTCAGTCAGAACTTGGGAAACAGTGTTTGACTGATTGTAGCCTGAGTGGGCGGAAGTCAGCTGCAGAGATCAGCCTCTCATTGGGCGGAACGAGCCACCCGCTGAAGTCCCGCCCTACCACCTCCGGTTGTGTAGCAGTTTTCAACCGTTTTCAACACGTCCTTTACTAACTTTTGCGGTGTTTGATCTTGCGGGGATGTAGCCATTTTTCTGCCATGGTTCGCGTCCTGTAGGCGATATTTTTGTGGGCGTGTCACACCAAAACCTGTTTCCCCCGGCAATATTTTTGCAAGCGCACCGTTGCTGTGGCACCGCCCAGAACGATTGTGATTGGTTGAAAGAAATACAAGCAGCCGGGGAGTTTTTTTCTCCAATCTTAAAGTGAGAGTCGGCCCAGCCAGACCTTTCTTTTCTTGAGAAAGGTCTGGTGAGTGAGACTAGACTGATTGTTATACTCACCTCAAATGTTTTTATCTGAGCTAACAAGTCTGTAATTCTTTGGGTGTGATCCATTAAGCAGACACTTCTTATGGGCCTTGAGGTTTTATTCAGCTGCTCCCTGGTGAAGATGGAAAAATGCCAGAGAATACAAATGTTTAATAACACATCTTTTTGAATAAATACATTTCAAAGGGTGATGATGTGAAGTTTCAGAAGCAGCAGCAACATTTATTTTAAATGGACATTCATATCTGGAAGACATTCACAGACAGAAATGGATTCAAAAATTGAACACAGCTCTGATACACAAACCTTCACTGGACCCACCTTGTGAAAGCCAGCTCATTCAGCAGCCTCTGGTTTTCATTAAACATGGCCTCCTCGTTGGCTTTACTCTTAACCTGCTGAGCTTTCATCTGCAAATACAGCTTCTCGTTCTCCTGGAAAAAAAAAAACCCAAACATATACTACAGTTCAACAGCACTTAAATTCACAACACAATGGGAAGAAAAAACAAACAAAGCAAAGAGGAGGAAAAGGAAAGAAAACTAGTAGTGATGATAATTTAAGTAATGAGTAAGTAATGATTTTTGGTGGCAGCCCCCTCATTCACTTTAAGAATTGATTAATTCAGACTACTGAGCTGGCACAACTTGGTGCACACACACAGTGCGTCGAGAAAAAAAAAACAAAAAAAACCAAAGTTTTGTCAAGCTAACAAGTTTTACCTCAGTGGAATGTGATATGATTTGCCAACTAGGGCTGCCACTAACGATTATTTTCATTGTCGACTAATCTGTCGATTATTTCTTCGATTAGTCAACCAATCATTTCATCGAAAAATGTGTTAAAATGTTGAAAAATGTCGGTCTGTCTCACCCAAACCCCAAAATTATGTCATCTAATGTCTTGTTTCATGCTCACGCCAAAGGGTTTTAGTTCACTGTCACGGGAGAGTGTGTAAAGATGCCAATATCTGAATGTAAGAAGCTGCAGTAAGAGTATTTTGGGGTACTTTTATAGTACTTTTCTATGAAAAATGACTCAAACCGATTAGTCGACTACTAAAATAGTCACTGATTATTTTTATAGTCGATTAGTCATCGATTAGTTGACTAATCGTGGCAGCCCTATTGCCAACACACTGCTCTGGCCGGTCAGACTGTATCTGTGCAGGTGCACATTCCAGGTTCACAACAAAGTACAGTAATTCTAGGCTGTGACTGAAATCCTTCCCTCGTTCACACATTCACTTCTCCCTATATAACACATACTTCATAGTTTACTCTATAGTGAGCAGCAAATGGATATTTTTAGTCTCTAATAAATTCATCATCATTTTGTATCATCACTGACAGCTGTCAGCTTGTCGGCCTTCCTGTAAGTTTTGCATCTTTAAAACGCAGAGCCGTGCATTATGGGATTTAATGGGACACATACCATGGACACTACTTAAAATTTGAGATGGAGGATAAATGATTGTCATTGTCAAAATCCCTCAAACTAGACTTCCTGCATTGTATTTCATCTTACTGTACTAAGTGATCAGCTGATGACATTAAGCTTATTTAAAGTTTGTTGTGACAAAAACAGAATAATTTCTGAGACTGATCTCTCCTGAGAAACCCATGTCCTCACAGCCTCATGCTCTCAGGAGACAGCAGCTGTGCAACAGTGCTAATTCTGGGAGGAGCAATGGTTTCAGCTGTCATAAATCAAATTTTGATCACTATTATGTGACAAATTGAGGGTCCTCACCTCAGTGAGAATCAACTATGTAACCTGCATAATGAAGGATTTCTCATCTTAATAACAAAAGGTTATGTTTAGTATAGGGTCGTAGACATAAGACCCTGTATTAAATTAAGAGCTTATTATTTTTTACTCATTATTTTAAACCAGACATGGGGCAAGTCTCAAGACTTTACCTTCAAGTCCCAAGTTAGTTGTGGTGAGAATCAAGCAAGTCAAGTCAAGCCCCTGCTGTAAGTCAAGCAAGTCAAGTCGAGTCATTGCTCAGGTCAAGCAAGTCACAAGTCAAGTCATATGTCACATACAGCAAACATCTCCTCACGATCCGCTAACTACTAGCGGTGCCCTTGTCTCACAGTCTAGCACAAGCGCGCACACGTGAACGCTGAGAGGCAGTCAGAGCTACAGGCTACAATGAGGCTAAAAATAGAGTTCAAATGACATTTTTCCAAACAATTTTTTATGTCGGGGCTTCAGGACACTTGGATCCCTACGGACGAGCAGTATGGAGACATTTTGTGGTTTCAATTATGTGATTTTGGACGTTTGAATCTGGGGCGCAGTAAGCCTCCATAAGGTGGAGTTTTGTTGCCAAGTTACCTCCACTCCCCTTGGATCTCCGCAAGTGTTGTGAGGACTCTAAAACTAGCTAGCTCCGTTGTGTTTGGTAACATTGTTGAATGTAAACAGAAGTGACGCCCAACTGTGCTTAGCATGCCTTTAATACTTTATTAAAGCCAAGTCTTTTCGAGTCATCTGTCTCAAGTCAAAGTCAAGTCTCAAGTCATCATATTTGCGACTCGAGTCTGACTCCAGTCAAGTCATGTGACTCAAGTCCCCCTATCAGTTTCAAACAATAATAGGGGAACCAGTGCAGAAATGAAATTTTTCATGCATGTAAGTATTATAAATTTGGTGTAACTTGATAGATGAACTGGGCAGTGGAAGAGAAGATTGGGCTCCAGACAGAAAGTTACCTACCTACTTACCTGCTATTTACATTTACATAGAGGCTCCACGTTTTTTTAAGCAACATGAGTGTTTTGACAGTTTTTACTTGCTGTCTAAATGGCACACTTGTAAGCATCAATATGAGTATTCATTATGTTGTCATCATATTCTTGCATATATAACAATTATGTAACCTTACAAGGCTACCTAAGCTATTTTAATTGTACCACTTTACCATCACTGTCAGACAAATACACATCATCAAAACTCCTACTTTGCAGCTGTTTGTCATACAGCAGTGACATCACACTCTCACCCAGGAGAAATCCCTCTCCTTGCTGAAAGCCAGGCTAGAAAGACTCATTCTCAGGTCCTATACTGAGGAAGGAGTGTTTTTACTCCTTGGTCAGGTCGACACCTGCAGTCATGACTTCACGCTTTCCCCCAGACCGTCCTACCAATAGGAGCTGGTGATGCAGAAACAAAGACATGATCTCTAGGCAATCTTCCATTGCCTACTGAGTTTGATAGAGTGTCCATCCAAACCAGAAGTTGCCACAGCTGGGAACACATTCTGAATCATGGGTGTGGTGAAAATCACCTTTTTGTCTGCATCCCAGCACCCTAACAAAGTAAGAATATTTCTCTGACCCCTAAAATTCTGTCATGTCAGTGAGCTTGGAATTATAGCAATATCCAAGAACAGATTTGATTAAATGAAGATCAAAGGGAAAACCACACAAATTAAGGACAGCTATGAACAGTAAAGACAATCATTAAGAGGTGAGTGTTCAGAGAAACAAACCTGCTGGTAACCTTTTATGAGCGTCTCCTGCTCTTTTATTTCCTTATCAATCTGTCGGAGCTTTTCCTCTGTGGCAGAGTCAGAGGCCTCGGCCCATCTCTTCTTCTGACTGGCTTCCTCTGCACTTCGCAGCTGAGGAGAGCAAATGAAACAGCCTATTAAATACTTAATGATGTATTAATGGCTACTTTCACATGCACAAATTATTTTGGTATTTGGCCTTATTCTGAAAAAGAAATTATTCCTACTAAGTTGTTTACAAGGCTAGAGAGAATATATATTCCACTATTATATCCTTTTACATGCAGCCCTGCGTACACTGATTAAGCCCTAACATGTCCTTTATCATGTCAAAATATAGAGAAGTGGAGTGGCTTGTCATTTTGCTTCTTTGCATCAAAATGTGATTTTTTTTTTATTTTTTCCAAAGTGTCCTACTGGTGGTGGACTTGTTGGACTGTGTGAACACAGCCTCCTTCCTTCATTCCTTCAACCACCTTCCTGGAAACATTGGTGTTGTGATATTTGTGCATTTCCAGTTAATATCCAAGTCTTTTGTAATGTTTAAAAACCTTGCAAACTGTTTGTGAGTTGGTTTGTGAATGTATCCATGACAATGCACAGATCCAGCCATAAACAGGCAGGAGGCCATGTATCGCAAACTGCTGTAAAACCCCATCTGAGACACATATTCTGAATGCACTGTATACATGTCCAAAGAATGCTCCTTTAACCTGAATAATACTGGCATGTCCCACATTTCTTAATCAGCAAATGCTACATTTGGAAAAAGGCCTAATTCGGAATATCTAAACGAAATATGTTGTTTGCATGACCAGTATCAAATTCAGAATATTATCATATTCAGAAAAATAGTGGACTATTAGTGTGCATGTAAACATACCCATTGTTGCTAATACAGATGGCCTGATCTTTTTGCATCTAATTCCTTCAATACTCACCATCTGCAGATCTGAAACAACATATTTGTCTACACACAGTACAGCAACACAGTACACACGATAAGCCTACATTAAAACCATGAGGGAAGTTTGTTTGACAACTAAAGAAAGCTGTCCTTAATTCTTGCTTCTATTTTGTCCTGCAGTGTTTGCTATGATTTCCACAGAATAAGGGATGTTGTTTGGAACTGTGACAGGAAAGTTTGGACAGTATTTGGACACACTTTCGTCATCTGCACTGTGAACAAAACACTGTTCACCTGCAGTGTCTAAGCAACAGCAGCTCTTCATGGGCGAGGCATGCTGCACAAAGCTGAAAATAGACATAAAGAGACCACTTCTAAACTCAGAAAAGCTCTGCTCCAATCACTCGCTGACTCACTCTGATATAATTTATCTTAACAACTGGTGGTTATGTTGTACAACCAATATTACTAATATACTGGCAGGGCATTAATTATAACTTTGAGTTGTTTTTCTTGTTTCTCAACCTTTAAGTTCTACAATTTTATATACTTGATGGACAGTTCTGTAATGGATTTACATAATCGAGTGGAAGGCCAGGAGGTGTTTTGTACACGATCCCATCCACACTATTATGTTCACACAAAACCTGGCCTTGAGTCACACTGAACAACAAAAAACTTTAAACGCAACATTTTTGGTTTTGCTCCAATATTTCACAGGTTTAAGAGCTAAGACTTTTTTCCGCACTCAAAAGATATATTTCTCAAGAAGTCTGGTCGCAAATTTGTAAGCCAGGATTCACCTGTGAAGAGACCACTTTTCCAAAGAGTTAGATGGCAATGATGGTGAGCAGTTACCCACTCAAGTCAATAAGGATGACGAATTGTTGTCAAGTCAAGACCCTGGTGAGGAGGATGTGCATGCAGTGAGCTTCCCTGAGATGTTTTCTACAGAAATTTGTCGGTTGTGTAAACTAATTGTTGCATCAGCTGTTCGGGTGGCTTGTCTCAGACCATTTTGCAGGTGAATAAGCTGCATATAGAAGTCCTGAGCTGGTGTGGTTACACGTTGTCTGTGGATGTAAGGCGGCTGGTTGGATGTACTGCCAAATTCAGGGAAATAACATTGGAAATGGCTTATGGTAGTGAAATAAACATTCAGTTCATGGGCAACAGCTCTGGTATTTACATTCCTGTGGTCAGTGTGTCAATGGCACGCTCCCTCAAAACTTGCGACATCTGTGAGATTGTGTTGTGTGATCAAACTGCATATTTTAAAGTGTGGTGTTGTGTTTAAATTTTTGTTCAGCATGCATTTGTTGCTCTTCTTGAGCTCACCCTTCATTGTGCTTTTATTCATAAAACAGGAAGCAGTCAAAGCAAAGGCAAATAAGAGTCTACAGCCTACTGCCCCCACTCTCAATCACCCATGTGAATGGAAGTAGTACATGCATGCAACAATAGCTAAAAGGCTGGGAAAAAAATGTTTTCTTTCAAAAGCTTCTGTGTTGTGAGTGTGTTTGTGCACCTTGCTTTGCAGCAGGTAGTTCTGCTGCCTGAGTGAGTTGAGCTCCTCTGCACCTTCTTTCATTATCTGCAGCTCCCGCTCTCTCTGAGCTAGCTGGACTCTCAGCTCCTCCACCAGAGAACTCTCCTGCTCCCTCTGCAAGTCAGAAACAACACTGACATCAAATGCATCATGAATCAAACCTAACATAATGGAGTTTGTAAGGACAAATGGTGATAGAAGAAAAGCATTTATACTCTGTTAACATGTACAGAGGATCACACTTTCCAACTCACATTTCAACTGTTCGGGTGCCCAAACATCCAGTAGGATTATTTAGCACAGCAACACTGACACATCCCTCACTGGAATCCCATCTGCAAACACAGATAACTGATCCTTTCTATGAAGCTTCTCCAGGGTTTCTCAAACATTCATTCATTTGTAGCAGCCCACCACAATAACAACATTTACTGCCACAAATTAATCTTTGAAGCTGGACCATTGCTTAATTCATTGGAATTAGGGCTGCACGGTATATGCGGTAGACGGTAGAAATGATATAAATTTGGCCCACGGTAGAGATTTGCGCTCTACCGTCCTATGGTTGATGACGTCATCACACCTGCCTCAGTGTGAAAATGGCTGCGAGCACAGAGACAGCGGAGCAAGAGGAGCTGGTTCACGTCCGTGATTTAGCGTAGCACGTGCAACATGTGTTGCTGGAGAACTTGTGAGTGAGTTAATGTTTTATGAACAGCCCTGGACTTCTCAGACTCTTTTAGCGACTTACCGCTCAGAGGGAACTCATTCAGTGTCTCCTCTGGCAGCAGCACAGCGTCTCTCCCTCTCCTCTCTCGCCGTGCGCACACGGGAGTTGGTTTTCGGCAAGAGAGTTTGTCATAAACCTTTGGTAATGTAAACCTATGTGACGCTAGGGGCTCCACAAAAAACTCCATATGTGAATGTGTGATAGTTGTGGTATCAAAACAGCCTGTCACAGGTTACAGCGTAATGATTAGAGGAGAAATGGCAGAGCATAAAGGTCCAGGTGGAAAAAACACAACTCAGTCATTTAGGATTTTGCTAAAAGAAGGAAATTACCTTTTGATATAGATCCCAGGGGACAATTTGCACCATAGAGTACTGGGTTTTAATTTTGAGTTTTGAGATCTGTATTCTGCACAGTAAATGCTCTAAAAAACACATTATATCTTTGCTTTTTTTTTTTTTTTTTTTTTAATCAATTTAGCTTTGCTAAGGGACTACAAAACCCATTCAGAAACACTTCCATTATAACTTTTACACTTAAATTTATACCGCGATATATACCGTTACCGTGATGGGATTTGATTTATACCGTGATATATAGTACAGGCCAAAAGTTTGGACACACCTTCTCATTCAATGCGTTTTCTTTATTTTCATGACTATTTACATTGTAGATTCTCACTGAAGGCATCAAAACTATGAATGAACACGTGGAGTTATGTACTTAACAAAAAAAGGTGAAATAACTGAAAACATGTTTTATATTCTAGTTTCTTCAAAATAGCCACCCTTTGCTCTGATTACTGCTTTGCACACTCTTGGCATTCTCTCCATGAGCTTCAAGAGGTAGTCACCTGAAATGGTTTCCACTTCACAGGTGTGCCTTATCAGGGTTAATTAGTGGAATTTCTTGCTTTATCAATGGGGTTGGGACCATCAGTTGTGTTGTGCAGAAGTCAGGTTAATACACAGCCGACAGCCCTATTGGACAACTGTTAAAATTCATATTATGGCAAGAACCAATCAGCTAACTAAAGAAAAACGAGTGGCCATCATTACTTTAAGAAATGAAGGTCAGTCAGTCCAGAAAATTGCAAAAACTTTAAATGTGTCCCCAAGTGGAGTCGCAAAAACCATCAAGCGCTACAACCAAACTGGCACACATGAGGACCGACCCAGGAAAGGAAGACCAAGAGTCACCTCTACTTCTGAGGATAAGTTCATCCGAGTCACCAGCCTCAGAAATGGCAAGTTAACAGCAGCTCAGATCAGAGACCAGATGAATGCCACACAGAGTTCTAGCAGCAGACCCATCTCTAGAACAACTGTTAAGAGGAGACTGCGAAAATCAGGCCTTCATGGTCAAATAGCTGCTAGGAAACCACTGCTAAGGAGAGGCAACAAGCAGAAGAGATTTGTTTGGGCCAAGAAACACAAGGAATGGACATTAGACCAGTGGAAATCTGTGCTTTGGTCTGATGAGTCCAAATTTGAGATCTTTGGTTCCAACCGCCGTGTCTTTGTGAGACGCAGAAAAGGTGAACGGATGGATTCCACATGCCTGGTTCCCACTGTGAAGCATGGAGGAGGAGGTGTGATGGTGTGGGGGTGTTTTGCTGGTGACACTGTTGGGGATTTATTCAAAATTGAAGGCACACTCAACCAGCATGGCTACCACAGCATCCTGCAGCGACATGCCATCCCATCCGGTTTGCGTTTAGTTGGACGATCATTTATTTTTCAACAGGACAATGACCCCAAACACACCTCCAGGCTGTGTAAGGGCTATTTGACCAAGAAGGAGAGTGATGGAGTGCTGCGGCAGATGACCTGGCCTCCACAGTCACTGGACCTGAACCCAATCGAGATGGTTTGGGGTGAGCTGGACCGCAGAGTGAAGGCAAAGGGGCCAACAAGTGCTAAACACCTCTGGGAACTCCTTCAAGACTGTTGGAAAACCATTTCAGGTGACTACCTCTTGAAGCTCATGGAGAGAATGCCAAGAGTGTGCAAAGCAGTAATCAGAGCAAAGGGTGGCTATTTTGAAGAAACTAGAATATAAAACATGTTTTCAGTTATTTCACCTTTTTTTTGTTAAGTACATAACTCCACGTGTTCATTCATAGTTTTGATGCCTTCAGTGAGAATCTACAATGTAAATAGTCATGAAAATAAAGAAAACGCATTGAATGAGAAGGTGTGTCCAAACTTTTGGCCTGTACTGTAAATTTTAGGTCATACCGCCCAGCCCTAATTGGAATATATAAATTATATACCACTCAGTTATTTATTGCACCAGGCTCTAGAGGTGTAGAGCATACTCTGGGCACAGACGGAGCAACAGAACACCAGGCACAGTGAAAGTCGACCTGATCTGATCAGCTCTGACCGGATCTACTGATCAATCATCCACCCTAAGACTCAAACTCCACAAACTGATGCTGAGGGGGGAAAAAAAACGCATGAAGAGTTTCGCCTGTGCTGTTCACAGACCCGCATGAACCTCAGAAGTTAGAGAAAGGACACAATGATACAAGGACACACACACACACACAAATTAAGTTTATTATTTCTTGCTGCTGGGGTGAAGCAAAAAGACGTGCTTGTTTTGAATCAGTGACGTGTGGTGCTGTGTCAGTGAATAAAGGTATGGGACCCTGATGCAGATGTCATGACTGTCAGCCACTCAGGGCTGGTTGTGAATCAAGACAAATTCATTCCATGATACCTCACCCCACCAGCTTTGCAAACTCACAGTTTGACATCCATATCCACTGAGCTGCTGAGAGCCCTTCCCTTTTCATGAGCCTGCACATCCCCCCTTCACTGGAGGATGTCCAACAACTGCTGGGCAGGTGAAAACCTGGCAAGGCCCCAGGACCAGATGGCATCAAACCTACGGTGCTGAAGCTCTGTGGCACAGAACTCTCTCCCATCCTCCACTCCAACAACTACTGACCAGTCACACTCACTTTAATTGTCATAAAACGCCTGGAGAAAAAAAAGGAAGAAAAACTGATTCTGACCCCTGCAAGACCCACACCAGTGTGCCTGTAGGGCTAAACAAGGGACAAAGGATAATGTGGCATGTCTCCACCACTCTCTCCTCCAACATCTGGAATCACCAGGCAACTTTTCTTAAATTTCTTTTCACTGACTGCAGCTCTGCCTTCAACACAATTCAGCTCCACAAGACTATCAAGAAATGTCACCATCTCAGTCCTCGTCCGCTGGGTTCATAATTTCCTCAGGATCAGACAGTCTGTTAGAATAGGCACAGTAACATCTATAACCATCATTACCAACACTGGAGTCCCACAGGGCTATGTCCTTAGTCCTCTTCATCCTGTAACCTATCTCCAACAAAACTAATTTAGCAGAAACACATACACTGCCCCCAAAGTCATCTGCCTATCCGCACCCAATCTCTCAGACATGAACGACGGAGACATCACTCACAATAACAAATGGCACAGATCACTCCTTCAATCGACACCTCACATTACTGCCATCTGGTTGGAGATATGGGAATTTAAGCAGGAGTTTTGTCCTTTCTATCAAAGCAGTCCTGAACAAACTGCCTCACTGACACTATTGTGAGCTGGGACACTGGAAGAATGTATTCATGAAGATGTTATGCATTGACAACAAATCTCCCCCGGGACAATAAAATCTTAGTCTAATGAGCTAATCGAAGGTGCTGAGTTAGCTTTATATCATGTACTGTGTTATATGTAAACACCAAAAAGTCATCTGGAGATGAGGCATTTTTACTTACATTGTTATCAGGCAGATGATGCATCAGTCTGGTTTCTTGGGGACCTCTGACTATAGCATCTGTGTCTGTAACATCCTGGTGACTGCTGGTGTCTATCTGCTGTTGGAGGACAGCCACTAAGGACTGAACAGATGCCACCAGCTCACTGCTCACCTTCAGACCCGCCTCTGCTAATCAAACCAACATAAAAAGTATTCAGTGCCTTTATATCAGTCACACAGACGGATTAAATGTAGCTCCAGCATGTAGCTCCAAACATGACACATTGATTCCACGTCTCCACACCATGCTCCTACATTGTGAAGACATGAAGGGATTTAGAAATGGGGCAAAATTAAGTTTGAAAACCAGCTTTCATTGATAACTGGTAACATGACGAGGATAGAAAACTTTGCATAGATTTATAAGCAAAGAAATAAATGTATAAACTTTCTGTAGCACCCATTTCATTGTGCAATTCATAGTGGTATTACTGGGGAAAGGCACACCCTTGTTCTACACTATCTGAGCAGTTTAATTACTTGAAATTTTATGTGTGAGTGCCTCTAATAACCTGTGTAGTCCTCTTTTTCTTGGGTCTTTGTGACATTGATTTTCTCTCGTGGCTGCTGTAGAGGACGGGAAACAGAAGAATGGGTTTTGGCTGGAGCAGCAGTTCTACTCAGCCCTGACAATCTGGAGGTCACTGCTGCCCTCCCCTCCACTCTCCTGCCTCTCACAGAAGCCACAGTGGGTTTCCTCACTGAAGATGTAGAGGAATGAGAAAAAGTGGAGCCACGGGAGACCTGGGAGAGCAGAAGAAAAAAAAAAAAAAGCCCATAATACATCACTTTTAAAAAACCCTTAAATACATGGAACAATTTTACCTCACAGCACACGGAAGTTGCTTGTCTACCTGCTGACTCTATCATTTGTTTGTGGTATCGGGCGACTTTCAGACCTGATTTCTGTGGCATCCACAGCAGTACATGAGTTTATATGTAGCCATGACATCGTGCAGAAGTCTACATTGGGTCACAGAGGAAAAATTTTTAGCAGGGCTTGACGAAATAGCGTTCTGACGCTAAAACATGTATACTATGACCAAAATTTGAATTTTTGAATACATGTGGAGCACTACTGCAAAGCTACAGAATGCAGCTGTAAATTTTGCAATACGGCACAACACAAAACATTGCCACAGTTCTGTTTGAAATATGTTTGATCAGGCTGTCCTGATACATTGAATATACATAAGGAAAAAAACTGTGCACTTTGATTAATGTTGATTAACATTAATTTGCTCTGTTGGATCTGATCCCACCACTTACTGCTGCTGAAGGGTTTTGTCTGATCCAAGCATTGCTGAAATGGAGGAAAGTTTTTAGGGTTTCCTCACCTGTTGTTTCTTAGCTTTATCAGCCTGAGAGGATGTGGAAGAAGAACATTTGTCCTGATCCTGCATCAGCCTCTCTACTTCCTGTCTGATGCTCCATGTCAGGTTGAGAGGCTCTGGGGAGCTGGATGGGTGGCTAGTCAATCCTCTGGCTCCCTTTATCCCTGCAGCAGGTTCAGCCTTTTCTGGTCTCTTCAGTTGTGACTCTGGAGAAGTCACATCTGGGAAACTTGTTTCCATGAAGCTGGATGTCTTTTCTTGATGAAGACCTACAGCACTGTAATCCCAAAATGTACATAGAAAACAACATTCAAACTTAAGAAAAACATAAACCAACATTTTGTGTTACTGTTCACCAGATTTGGAGGTCGAAGAAAGAACAAATCAGATCTGTGTCTGATGTTTATGGTACAGTGTTGGATATTTGTTGGTTGAACCTCAGACTGAACAGGTGTCATCCAAAAAAAGCACTGAACTGCATGTAGATGATAAATATTCTTGTTAATTGCATGTTGAATAACCCACAAACACACAGGCTTGTGGTGCAGAGGCAAAACGGTTTCTCTTGTTCACAGGTAACAGGATAAATTAGCTCTGTTGACAGTCCTGTCTGGGCTGGAATACAGTGGTATTTATATGCATGCTTAATACATACATTATACATTAATACTTCTGTCATGACATGCTTTAAGTAACAGTATGAGTTTGAGAACAACTTTTCATAACACGGATTTCCGCCTTTATTGTTATATTTAAGTAAATGCTTTAATGCAGATTTTAGTCCTTATTAGGGGTGACCCCGAATAGTCGATGATTCGGTAGTCTCACTCACCAGACCTTTCTCAAGAAAAGAAAGGTCTGGCTGCGCCGACTCTCACTTTAAGATTGGAGAAAAAAAACGCCCCGGCTTTTTTTTTATTTCTTTCAACCAATCACAATCACGTTGCAGTGCCACAGCAACGGTGCACTTGCAAAAATATTGCCAGGGGAAACAGGTTTTGGTGTAACATGCCCATAAAAATATCGCCTACAGGACGCGAACCATGGCAGAAAAATGGCTACATCCCCGCAAGATCAAACACCGCAAAAGTTAGTAAAGGATGTGTTGAAAAGTGCTACACAATTGGAGGTGGTAGGGCAGGACTTCAGCGGGTGGCTTGTTCCGCCCAATGAGAGGCTGATCTATGCAGCGAACTTCCACCCACTCAGACTAATGATTCGGTGATTCGATTCAGAGAAGTCTGATTCGACGGCCAGTCTCGACATGATTTGACGATTAGTCGGCTAAAAGAAAAATCCGTCAAATCAGATTTGACTATGAAAATTCTTAGTCGGGGACACCCCTAGTCCTTATTTACTATTTTACCATTTACTCTTTTTATATTATCAACTGCAGTTTGCATAATTTAATATCCTTGTTCTGTCTGATGTAAACTTCTGATTTTATCGTACTGCATACAAAGGGCACCCATATTAAGGAAATAATGACTCCAACTTGATGGCACTGTATAAAGAAATGTTTAATAAATTAATGAATTACTGAGGTTATTCATATGAGCTAAATCATATGCATAAACATATGCATAATGTCCCCAAATGTGTCAAAATAAAAAGAAATTACATGCAAGTCAGACCAACCAGTGAGCAGTCAAAATAATTAAACTATTGGCAGTCTGCTGATGTTTTGTGATGTCTTCATTCCAGATAATGGTAAGTAAGATTTTGCAATCCTTTCTTTTAGCCAGCGCAAAGCGGTGCACAGCGCAGCCAAACTAGTTACAGAGCTCATAAAGTTGTCATTTTCAAGGCCAGCGCCCACGTTACAAATGTACTTGTGCCAATCTGTGCATCTATGGGTGTCTAGGTCTTAAAACGAGGCATGTTCAGGTGCGTTATTTGCGTATTGGTATTTCGGCAGCAGAAAGTAAGAAGTCAGAACGTTGCAGTATGATCTTGCTATGCAAAGGGCACATTATTCAGATTGTAGGATGCACCTACAAAGGCAGGTTCACAATTTGCGTACACTCTGCTTGTTACACACACAGGGAAACAGGGATGAGATGAGGGTGGATGAAATAATATATCATTAACAGGGAAAGTATTCATTAAATTCTCTAAAATGTGAACATAGCAGAGATCAGAGCAGAGCTGCTGCCCGAATCCCCACTAAGAGAGACACTTTGCACATTTACACAAGGAGCAGTTTAACTTCATTGACAGAGGATAAAAACGGGAGATGATACTGATTGGTTGTATTCATGTTACGCCCAGAACACACCTATGATTAATCAAGGGACTAATTACAGCCCCTTTGCCTCTTGTGTCTTACTCTGCACCAAGATTTTGCACCATTTAAGCAGAAAAAGTGGAGTTGGACACACCCTGAATGCACTTGTGTATCATTTAAATAGGACCTCTAACCTGACAGGCTGGAGGCTGAAGCCTCTGATATGGTCCCTCTCTGGTCGGATGGGTTTCATTAGCTCCTCTGCAGTGGGTAGCTCTAGATACAAAAACAAATGAATCATTCAGCATGCTTCAGTGCTGTCATGAAGATACATATTTTACCAGTGACGGCTGACTTTCAGAGGTGACAAGGACTTCCTGAATATATCACTAAACAATTTATTGGAGCATCATTCCTCCAGTTAGACCAGTGAATTATAAAGACAAACAGAGGAATTCCACTATTTACCCAAATGCTGTTTACAGTAAGGTGGTGTCTGACCTGACTCATTGGTAGAAACAGGCTGAAGAGACTGTCTGGCATGTTGAGGAGGAGAGGATGGAGACACAGGTCTGTTTATTCTTCCTTTCCCTTCCAGAGACGAATAATGGTGATTATGGTCATCTGAATCTTCCACCACATGGATCTGTCTGTAGGCTTCACGGAGAGCCTCCATCTCTGAGCCTCCACTCTGCACATATGACTGGCCTGTACAGAAACAAACTGAGTTTACTTTGTGTCAAAAACAATACAAGATGAAACTAACATTTATTTGGGGCAGCACTGGTGCAGAGGTTAGCACTGTTGCCTCACAGCAAGAGGGTTCTGAGTTCGAACTCATCGACCTGCTGGGGCCCTTCTCTGAGAAGTTTGCATGTTTTCCATTGCCATTGTACTGAAACTATTTCAAGTGTTCAGAATGGATATGTATCCATAAATTGATATTTTTGACAAGACTAGGTCACTTGATGTTATGGAAACCATGAGCACCAAAGCATAATTCATTCAGATATACTGGCATGGTAAACAAGAGAGACAAAAAAGGGGGTGACTCCCTACCCCTAAAGGGGGTATTAAGTCTGAGTATGCGTCCATTCCTTGAGTTATGAATATTGTTGGGTGAAGTCAATCGCTCCCTGTCTTTGTTTGTTAAACAAATAAAGCAATTTAACTGATATAAACAATAAACACGATTTTTTTAGAAACAATATTTTTTTAGGATATCTATGCAGACTACTGCACACAATCTGCTCATTATCAGGTATTGTGTCTGGGTGCTTTAGATCTAGAATGTGGGTGCTCCATCTTCCGAAAGAGTTGGATGGCCATAAATGATTAATTATTGATTCAGATTCAGTGTTTAGGGAGCCTCTGCTGTGGACCTCAACCTCTTCTCTTCGCATTTCTCAGGATACTCTCTGTTCTTGAGAAGTTCATAGTCTTCCAGACTACCTGGAAGAACTTTCTCCAAAAACATGCACTGACTGTTACATCACAATGTTTAAACAAACATGGACACACAACTAACTTTAGTGAAAGCTTGCTCACTACACTTGGAATTGTTATTGTTTTAAATAGAATACAAATTCCATGTAACATCTATTTTGTTGTTGTTATTTGCTACTGGATAACACTCTTCTCTAACTTCCCTGACGCTGTATGTGTTTGTGTTACCTCTGTCCAGAGACCAAGGCTTTTGATACTGTTGAGCATCCCTTCATGATTGCCTTGAGAGATTTGGCTTTGGTTCATATTCTGCAATGCATTTAAAACCCTTTATGCAAAAGGAAACAGCTCTGTGAAGTTAACTGGTTCCTACCACTCAAAGATTTCGTCTCGAAAGAGGCATACGGCAAGGCTGCCCAGTATCTGTTTATCTTTTAATTCAATCGTTGGTTACAACAAGATTTATCCTTGAAGGGTTGTGTCCTCCTATCAAAAGCTGAAGGCATTTCACGGCTTATTTATATTGCATACTCTCTGTATCTTGATAACAAAACTGCCAAAAGAATTGATAAAATGTTGTTTAAGTTTTTGTGGAAGAACCGTACACATTATATCACAAAATCTGTAGTCGTTAATTCTTGTAAAAATGGTGGCCTTGACTTTCTGGACTTCTCCACATTGAATAACGTGTTTAAGATAAACTGGTTATAACACTTTTTAAAAAAAGAATCCTCCATGTGGAACTTTATTCTGATATTTGTTTTTGACCAAATTGGAGGACTCCAGTTCCTATTAGTTTGCAATTATAAGATAAACAAGATACCTGTTAAAGTGTTCAATTTTCACAAGCAGGCTTTACTGGCATGGAACTTAATCTACAAGCACAACTTCTCGCCACAGTGTTATTATATTTGGAATAATGGAGACATTCTGTAAAAAAAGAAGAGTATATTTCTAAAGAACGTGTTTGACTGAAACATGTTTTTGGTGAGTCAGCTGATTAACACTGAAGGTCGTCTCATGAGTTATGATGAATTTATTTCTTACTATGATTTCCCTGTCACAGCGAGTGAATTTGCTCTAGTAATCGGGGCTATACCATATGGCTCTGTGACTCGGTGCAGGGGATCATTCCCAGTTGATGGTTCTATTGTTAATCTTGATGATACTCCATGTGGAAAAGTGTGTTTTTCAGCATGTAAGAAAAATAACAAAGCTATCCGGTCTCTATTTCAGAATGAAGTTGTTACAAAACCTTATGTTTTCTTATTGGAATAATTTTGTTAACAACATTCCCTGGACAAAAATGTGGACATTGCCCCATAAATATTTAATTACTAATAACATTAGGGAGATTTCTTTTAAAATTTTGCACAATATTTATCCAGCTAAACATTTTCTTAGAAAATTCAAACCAGATATCAATATAAACTGTTCTTTGTGTGCAGCTCATCCAGAAACTGTTTCATCTAGGGCTGCACGATATATCGTTTATCGTTATATCGTCACGATGGATGCTATGTGCAGTTGATTGTACATGATGTGCAATATGTTCAATATAGATTTAAAAAAATAAAAATAAATAACCTCTGTCCAGAGACCCTGCTGTGTCCTTTCCTTTGTCTTCTCCACCGGTGTCATCCAGGGAATCATGCAGAGAAACTGAGACAGAAGTTAGAGCAACCGTATTTAAGACTAACTCCACAACATGATCAGCTATAGGTCAATATTAACTTCTTCAGAGAAGTATTGCAGTAAGAGATTTAATATATAGACTGTTTGCTGATGCGGTTTGTCATATAAACTAAAACTAATGAGACATTTGAATGAGATCACATACACATACTGTATATGCTGTTAGTAGTGAATTCGTTATTAGCATTACTATGGTTTCCCCTGTATTGCTTCATTATTTAATGGTTGAAGTGCTGTGCATGAGTTGTTTGTCTCAGGCTTCCGAAACCGTCAAACTCTACTCCATACTCTCTTTGACTGAACATATTTATTCCTCCAAACAACCACCCACCACCTCAGTGAAACATTATGTCTTCTTTTCTTACCTTTGGCAAGAATTGGAGACATTTTAGGCTTCTGAAAAAAAAAGAGATAATAACATTAATTACTGAAGAATGTAGCAAAATGTCAGTTTGAGATATTTCGGTGTAAACACAGTTAAAGCTTACAACATGACACCTCAGCGATGTCATCACACATTGTATTGAACGTTTGGAGATCTGAAACCAACCTGCCAGTTACAAACATGTCACACTCGTGTTATTTGGGTTTTGCCAGCCTGAGATTGTTTAACAGATTTACACTAATGTGTGTTTTTTCAACTCACACAACTTTGATGTTTGATTGACAAACAGACTATTTAGTGTTGAAAAAGGGGGCTTTCTGACTTCTCAGAGTTGTTGAACAGTGCTATGTGTCAATTTGGCTGACTTTTTTTACCTTGAAAATTTGAAGGAGCATATTCGTCTGTATGTTGTAGTGTACTGATACTCCATCAATGTTGACCACAAACTGTTTTTTGTTAATTTCTGGTCCTTAAGGGCTCCCACAGCTCAAACATACAGTTTATGGCTGTGGGATTCCTCTCTTGCCTTTACACTGAGTGCCATGTTCACATAACTCCTCAACATATTAACCCATGGATTATGGATGTGTGTGTGTGTTTTTTTTTTTTAGATTTCATTTGTTTGGTTTTGATGATGTAATATTGTCATGTATATACCAGGGTCTATCTTTATCAGCCACTCTCTTTAAACCACTGTGTGTTAGCTGCGAGGGTTTTAACCAAAACAAAGATACTCAACCAAATAACACCTGTGCTAAAGTCACTGTACTGGCTTCCAGGACATTTCAGAATTTATTTTAAAATGTTATTGCCTGTGTTTGAGGTTTTACATGGTCAGGCACCAATATCTCTCTGATATGTTTGTGAGCTATGAGCCAGCTCGACCCCTAAGGTCATCTGGAACAGGTTGCCTGGTCATATGTATTATACTCCTTTAATAGTCTACATTTAGTATTTTTATCTTATTTAATTTAAACATTTTTTTATCAGTTCTGACTCTCGTGTCTTTGTATCTTTAGTTGGTTCCTTCTTCTCAATTATTATTTCATGAGGATATATTCTGTTTTAATGGATTTGATTATGATCAGTTGCTGGCTTTGTTTTATGCCTGCAATTTCTACCTCACACTTTGTGCAGCACATTGCACTTCTACCTAGAATCAAATGTCCTACATAAATTAAGTTTTGCTTGCTTGCTTGGATTCCTGACATCTTGATTGACATGACTGACATCTTAGCCCTCGCTCGGGGGTCAGCCTACTAAAACTGATTATACATTATCCATAAAATAACCTGTGTGTACAAGTTATACAGGGGGTATAATTTCCCACATTGAAAAGGTGCAGCAAGCATTTTTTTTTACTAGTGGCATTCAATTACAAAAAAAGGCAGTGTGGTGCTACAGTAGCAAAACGCGAGTAGCACTGCTACTCGCGTTTTGCAACCTGCAAAATGCTTACGGTGGTATCGGGGCCTCAGCCAGTCATGAGATGTAGATGAAAGCTCTTAACAAACTAATGAATGGGCCTTTTAGTAGAAATTATTTTTTCGTATTATTTTTCACCAAGGTCCTAACTTATCATAGAACACTCACTGAGTTTAATCATTATAGATTTCAACTACAAACCTCCTGCAGTGGCTCTTTTCCATTCTCCTCTTCATCAAAATCCTCACTGTAATGTGGAGATCCTGTCAAGGCTGAGAGAGAAAAGACCTGACTGAGACACACAGAAACAGAGTGATAAAGAAAAACAGAGAAAGAGAGGTTTGCTGAGGGCTAACTGCTCATACCTGGAGACTCTCTGACAGTCTCTGTGACTCTGGCCTTCCTTTGATCATCATCACTCTGCTCCACTGCTTCCTCAGCTTTCCTGGAGGGAGGACATTAATCCTCATTACATTAAAGTCACAACCTCAATCTTTAAGAGCAGCAGCAAAGACACTGTATCTGAGGCCCCATAAGAGTGGTGAAACAAATGTCACCTTCAATCAAACCTTAAAAGTCTAGGAAAACGACATGTTGTGTTGGCACCAAAACATCTTCCATTGTGTGTGTTATTGTCTCTGAAAAGGAGCATCGAGTGTGGTGTGATAAATTCATGACTGATCTGCTCAGACTACTTCTGTCTTTTAGTGCTTAGTGGGTGTAATATTACAGCATGGCAGTTTACAAACCTGAGTTTGGTATCGATGGTAGAACTTGTTGAGTCCAGCTCTCTGTTTAGCTTGGAGTAATCTATAGTTGATAAAGCCCCTGCCTCTAGTTGGGCAAAGAACCTGGCTTTCTCCTCTTCTTCCTCTATAGTGTCCAAGCCAATATTGGTCGTGTTCTCTGCTGGTACCATCACTGAGTCTGCACACAGATATTAAAAGAGCACACACAGAAAGCACAGCTATGATGGTTCTAAACTGAAAACAAAAACTGTGTGTGAAGATGAAGGAGAAACGGAAGGTTCAATGTCCCACTTTTGGTTTACAGCTTGTTTGGACTGGATGTAGAACACCAAATACAGGGGCTAAAATGATAAAAGCTTAGTTACAGTTGTGCGTAGACTCTACGCAGAGAGGCCTACGACATTGTAAGCAGTTATACTTGTGCAGTGGTGTGTCTGTGTCGCTCTGCAATTACACCTCCAAAATGCTAGTTGGCAGTAGGGTTTCTATGCCACTGTGTTGAGTTTCTATGATTCAAAAAACACACATTAAACATGGCTTAATAGCAACAATATTGATCACAAGGAAGATATTCGGCTGTATTATAACTCACGAGGTTCAGTGACTAGGTTCTGTGTGGAGTTTGCATGTTCTGCCCCTGTCAGCGTGGGTTTTCTGTAGGTTCTCGGGCTACGTCCCACAGTCCAAAGACATGCAGGTTAGGGTTATTTGGTGACTTTAGATGTCCATAGGTGTGAATGATTGTCTGTGTGTATGTGTCAGTCCTGTCATAGTGAGGTGACCCACCTCTCGCCCAGTGTCAGCAGAGATAGGCTTCAGCCCCCTTGCAACCCTGTACCAGGATAAGCGGTTATGGATAATGAGGCTCACAGACAAAACAACTGTCTTTAGCTAGATGTGTTATCCCCACAAATACAACATGCTAATGTTTTTAGCACAAGTCTATGATATTTTACATTACATAAATTAGTCTAGCGGACTTTCTTCTACTCATATGAAACTGGGATAAATCACTCACACGACTTAAAATGTTATTTTGTGGGGGTCTTTATTGTCCTCACATTTCTTTTTTGAGAAAAAAAAACGTGCAACATGTAGTTACATTTCTGGGGAGGTGCACATCATACTATGGCAAATGTACATGTCTATGCTGAGCCCACGCCATAGGTACTGCATTGATTTGGTGCAAAAGTATAAATCCTGCTTAAAGGTTGCTGTGTACTTCAAATGACTTGCTATTTAAAATACCTGTTAGTAGGCCTGGGTAACATTAAAATATTACGGCATACTAGGGTATTTAGAAATCCTGAAGGTATGATTATTAATGCTGTCAAAAACACAGACACTCCTCTCTATGTTAAACTGATACAAAGATGCTGTATTGAGGTGATGTGCTGTAGTATATGCCACCAGGGGTCAGTCTCTACTGGTGGAACTAGCAGCTGAGCTGTAAAACAAGGCAACTGTGAGTAGTGGGAATAATGTTACAGGCCTTTTAAAACAGAGAACAGTGCCTCTGCCACCTGCTTGGGAGTATTTTGTCAATTTATCACAATGTGAACAAATATAGGCTGAAAAAACAGCTTACTAATTAAGTAACTGACTATTGGAACTGTAACTGCAAAACTAAGAGCCTGATTATCCCCCAAATAGAAGTGAGATTATCAATAATGGGAGTTTTGTCTGTCTAAATAATCCTGCCATAGACAACCAGTGTTGTTTCAACTGTACTATAAAATATAATCCGACAAACTACTGGCAGATGCAGGTTTTAAGAAGAGTGTTTTGCCTCCATATGTTAGTCTTACCCTGTTCAATACTGTCACTGCTGAGAACAGCTGCTGTCAGCCTGTCTCCTTTCAAACCAGTGTCTCCTGGATCCTCATCCTCCTCTTGAATGGACTGAGACTTCCTCAAAGACTTTCTGAAAGTCTTCCCAGATCCCAGCAGTCCTGGAAAGAGATGTCACAGAAAAGCGCAAGTCAACCCTGTTTCAATTCATGCAGGTCACGCCACATCAGCTGACCTACTGTAAGCCACTTGACCCAAACAATCTGAGATGACTGATGGACTGACTAATGACTAGAGAATTTATTATACTTACAGGTATTTATTCTAGTGTATCTGTTTCTCTTGTGCCAACTGCCATTCAACATCCTGTTTTTCATATACACACTAACAGTACTACAAGTTGTACATGTGGACAAATACAAACAACAAACTGTGGACCCAAAGAATTATATGCAGTGGATTCAACACCTGACACAAGCACAACAAATTATTCACATCATAACTTCAAAAAGGTAATATTTATCTCAATAACTGTACTGCACAGGTGTGCTCAAGTTGCTGTGACTTCACCACATCGGTGCAAAGATTTTCTAAACGTTATCCTAGCAGGAATTTTATACATTTCTGTTTCTATTGTATATAGAATTGGTAAATTGTCAATCAATGAATAGCAGCTGCAGGTTGGTTTGAATTGTGATTACCAGTTGATGGAACCTGTGTGAATTTGTGTTTGACTCAGGTCTTGGTGCCTGACAAAGATCTATACAACCAGAAACAGTGTGTGGAATTAGTGCATTTTCTCAAAATGAATATCCTTCCCTTCTGTACCCACTTCTCCCCATCTGTCACTGCAGTCATTACTTACTTGACTTTTGTCTCTGCCTTTCCAGCTTGAGACTTCATGGAGTTCTTTATAAACCACATGCTCAATGGTGAAAATGTCACAATATCCTTATGTGTGTTCATTATGCTGATTTAGCTGCATTATGTTTAGATGGATAATAAATGAAACTCTTACAAGTTTCATTACAAGTGTAATGCTACTCATGGCCCCATACTGCCACCTACTGTCTATTGCTATGTGTGCATTCTTCCACTGGGATTTTGAATAAGTGAACTTATATGGTTTCTGTTTTGCAGTTTACAGAGGCTCACCTGTAAAATTAAAGCTTTGTTTTGAGTGTAAAACTATAGACACTTAGCTGAAAAATGTCTCATCCAGAAAATTTCACCGCCTGTTCAATTCCTGCCCTTTAGCAATTAAAATTAAATGATATTAAAAGGAATTTCCAGTTTGTCAGAATGTTTTCATGCAGGAATAATTAAGAAAAAACCACTATCAGATAGGAAATACCAATGACATAACCAATTTGATTCTATGTAAATATAGATCTAATACACCAGTAAGAAAACATACAAAACTATGAGTCTTCAGGTCTATGTGACAGGTAGAAAAACTATTACTTTAATATACAAACTACAACCTTAATACAGACAATGACAATACTTAAGACAACTAGTGGTGCTACTGATGTCAATCACTGTACTGCTGGGGGACTAATGCAACACAACGAAACGTTTGAGGGTTTGATTTGAAGTTACCGTCATTACTGTCCCCCTGGGAATGACTATCAGTGCTGGCTGGTGGAGTGTCATCAGAGTGTGTCTCATCAGGGCTCCTCTCTCCTGACACACACTGGAGGTTTTCATGAGTTGGACTGCTCTGACTGTCAGAGCATAAGCCATAGGATGGAGTTCTGTGTCTCTTCACAGTTTGGGAAACCTCCAAAACTGTAGCTTTGTGGGTCTGGTCCAATTGAATTGGTTTATCAACAGCTTTGCAGCGAGGTTTGGGGACCGGCTTATAAAAGGGCTCAGCACTGACCACTTCATACAGCAAGAAGAAAAATAGGGTAAATCATTTTGGTGCACTGTTCAATTAAATATGGCATAGCTTTTTGAATGTGACATCTAAACTACACACTTCACACACTGGCCATCATTCACTGAAATTTCTTGCAATCTATTGTGTTTTTACAATGGAGTGTTGCCCACTTCAATAGAGTTTGACAGAGACCGTGTCCAAAAAAATATCTGTCTCACTTTCAGTTCCACTTCAAATAGCAAGATGTTACTGTTGTGACCTTATTTGCTTCCAGTGTGAAACGATGGCATGTAGCGAATATATACTTCTTACACAGGAAACTTTGAGCTCTGGGTCAGAGAACGGCCTCAAGGTAGGACACTAATGGACAACTGACCAAATTATGGTAGGTCATACATGGCAGACTTTGCACCAACACCTTATTAGAGCCAGTGTCCCACATTCTAGGACGTGGCCTGCAAAGTCACACATAGCACTGCGAATTCTGGAAAGGGAGAACAAAAGGACTGACTTTTCAACACAAAATTATATCTACGTTAAATGATGTGTTATGTTTAATGAACATACAGAAAATATAGAAAGTTGGTTGTAACATGCTGATTTTGATGCAGGACCCACTGACACTAAAAAACAGGAACTGCTTACACATCCCCATTAGATAAACACGGAGTGTTTGGTCTCATTAAGTAGATAAAAATTAGGGGAATGGGACAATATATAAATCCTACCAGTAAATTTGTCATACCTTGTAAGAAGTCAAAATGTAACCTGAGAGGCTGATGCTAACTTAATCCCAGTTCAGACCAAAGACGTGCAGCGAAATAAACTAAAACTTGCAATGTGCCTGTCTCTGACGTTCTCAAAACATGCTAGTTCATACTAACGCGAACAGACGAGCCATGTATAGTCTCCATAGCAACAACTTTCTGTACTTCTGTTCTAATTTCCAGCTTTTGCAGGCTTATTTTGTAATTGAGTATAATGTGTAGCTTCTTAAATTAACATTGAGAATGGTGATAGTAAGATATTGGCTACAGTTGCATTTCTAGTAGTGATGAACAGCATAAACATACAAAACAACCTGAGCTTCAGATGGATGGATTCATAAATTGGCCAAAATAATTTAAATAACCTACGCCAACTAATCAGTTGCTGAGATTGTGTGTGTCACATGGGTACATACAGCTAGCAACAGCAGCGACCCACCATCCAACACCGACACACCGTGAGGACAGACACTGACATGCGTGTCATCAACCGCAGGGACGTAAATGAGACAGACTCAGGCTTGGCAGGGACAGAGGGCTGTTGTCAGAGAATATCACAGCAACGATCGGCTGGCAGTTGAGACAGGTGATGATGTGCCTTACATTCTTAAACCAGCTACTTTTGACTTGACAAGCTGAGATGCAGGTGCCACCATCACCCGCTTGAGTCGAGCTGAGACGTGGCAGTTCACACCGCTGCAACTTTTCTCTGCAACGTCCTAAAACAGTTTGGTGTTGTTGCAAATCTTTGGTCTGAACTGGGCTTTTGTGCAAGTCTGTTCAGGGACGCTATCCCCACCCCTGGACACATTCCCTTAACACAGACACACACCACAGACACTAACCTCATGTGTCGTACAACAGATGTTTTAACATGATTGCCATCTATGAGCCTGTGTAATTAATTGCATATAATTCTGTAAGGTTTTATTCAGTGGTTGATAACGGATGTCTGGAATCTCTCAGCAACAGTGAAAGCCAAACATTTAAATATGGAGGAATTATATGTGAAGTAAACATCATTCATTCTTTGTAAAGTTCAGTAGGAAAGACTCAAAAAGGAGAGATTTTTTAATGGGAGGGTTACATTTTTGCACCAGTGACATTGGTGCCATCTATAGTGTATGGTGCAAATGTATTCAGGACATGTCCAAAAACCTTTGCTAGTTAAACAGTGCAAAATCTGGGCACAAAGTAAAGTTCAAAGGGCAAAGGGGTTTGATTGAATGAACCATCTTAATGTGGACATAATCTACAGAACTCCTTAGTGGGACTTTTTCTCAGCTTGTTCTCACCATTGTTGTTTTCAGGCTGAGACTTTTTGGTTTTGATAAATCTGCTTCTGGCCGTCTCTGGTAGGGAAGGAGGAAAAACAGCATAGGACAGTCTTTCAAAAGAGGAGATAATTAACAGACAAATACAAAGCTGTGAAATGTACACCCACGTTTCTGCAGAGTTGCACAGTTTTTTAAGTGAACTTGATATTTCACAGTAGGAGTGAGAGATTTGTGGACCAGAAGTTGCTACATAAATGACTATTATCACAATATCTTGCATAGGGCAACACTTCCCAAAGACTAATTAACAATATCAGTTGCATGGTTCAGCTCAACTTGACTCACTTTTGGTACCAGATGCTTCTGTTTATTTTTTTCACTGGAGATAGTAACCCGTAAATGTAGGCAGGATTTGTAGCGTGACTTCACCTTCAATGGGATACAAACACTTGTTGCGTGATGCTTCATGCAGCTCTCATCAGCAATAAAACAGTGGAACATCCACACTTCATCAACTGACCACAGCATGGCTTTGTCAGCTGCTAGTTTTTAAAATCTGGGTTGAGTTAATCAAAAAAATCAAGTCATAACTGATGGCAGCTTGACTATTTAAAAATGGTGAGTTTATGCAGGATTTCTCATGTCACACAAATGACAATTCCCTCTGACCAATCTATGGTCTGCAGTTTTTTTAATTCTCCTTCTGGTATCAGCTCAGCTTGTTTGGAACCTCGATTGAGGAGGTACCAAAGAAAGCACCAGGTACTATCCACAACTTTTGCTAATGGAAAAACCAAAAAAGAACAGTTCCAAGTGATTTGAGTTGAGCTGTACTGTGCTTAAATGAGTCTAATGTTGGTCACCAGTAATTTACATTTTAGACCACACACAAGCATGCTGGGTATGTGTGTTTCAATGCTCAGTGAACATAAAAGAGGAAAAATCAGGGAAAGATCATATCCAGCAAGCCAGGCAGACAGGACAGTGTTATGAAAGAAGCAGGAAGAAATGAAACAGTGAAGCATCATTTTTAAAAAACATCACACTTGTCCTGCTGGAATTGATGAATAAGGAGGGAGATGAGTCAAGGAGAGATCAGTCAACAGTGTAAAGTAGAAGAATACAAGTTAGACAGAGAGGCACTCTAACTTGACGAGAAGGGTGGAGAGGCGAGAATGTCCAAAAAATAATATTAAAGAATTTAACCTGAGCAGAGGTCTAACCAGCAAGGATAACCTTAACAAGAGACTCGATAGTGGCTCTGTGAGGCTTATTCAATAACACAACCCAAAGATCTTTTTTTTTTGTTAGATGTTGTTGACCAAAGTTCTTAACAGTTACACCAACAAAAAGCCTCTGGAAAACCATTCTCTTAGTGAAGCGCAGGTCAACACTTAAACAGCTATCATCAAGTTTATCATACGAACAACCAAATTGTGCCAACAGTTACTTCCATGCTACGTGAGTAAAGCTTAAAACTGTACTTGTGCCCTTGTCAGTTCTAAATAATGGTAACTGTACAGTAGAATAGTGACCATGTGTGTCAGTGTCATTATAAATGTAAAAGGTTGTAGTCTGTCACTGATAATGCACTTCTAGAGTAACCTAAAATCAAAAAAGCTTTTCCTCCAGGTCCATCATCAGTCTGCCATCCTTCTGACCACTCTGCCCTGGCAACAGTAAATATGGTGGGATTCCCACCTGCTTGGGGAAGGTATATATCTTAAGTTACAACTTAACTCTTGTAAGTTGTAACTAAATGTATGTTTTTACTAAGTCACAGTGTAAGTCCCACACTACATTAGGGATGGGAGTTGATATGATTTTAATGATATCAATGCCATTATTGATGGTCTGACTCCTGATCAATTTCTTGTGTGGAAAAAAAGTAACAGTCTGACTGTAATTATCTTAAATGGGAGAATGAAAGAATATTTGTACAGCATTCATTTTTATCTAGGTTTTTGTTAGTCCGAGATAAAACCTGCTAAACCTGCCTGCTTGGTCATAATGTGATCATACCATAGACAGACGTGCTGATTGGTTGGGAAGCAGTGGCACTCGTGTGCAGTCAGGTAGCAACGGTATACTGGGATCAAAGTATACCATGATATCAAAATGAAGGTTATCATTCCGTGTACATTTGCTGATGTACAATATTGAAAAAAAAATACAACTTGACAGAAAATCTCAACTTTATTTTAGTTATTTTCAAAAGGGAGACTTTTTACACGTACTCCCCTTAAAATTTGGTTTCATCTTTCAAATATAACAATAAAACAAAAAAATAACCCTTACGTTTTAATCGCTTTAAGGATAATTCTGACTGGTAATAATAGTTATTCTGTAAAAGGTTCTGGAAAAGGTAGTTTATAAGCAACTGCAATCACACATTGATTTAAATGGTATCTCTGAGAAGTTCCAGTCTGGTTTTAAATCGCGTCATAGCACAGAAACGGCCCTTTTAAGAGTTTTTAACGACCTGCTTTTAACTGTTGATTCTGGCAACTCTGCTGTCCTGGTTCTTCTGGATCTATCTGCTGCCTTTGACACAGTCGATCACGACATTCTCCAGTCACGTCTCGATTCCTGTGTAGGCATTAAAGGCACAGCGCTAAAATGTATCCAGTCTTATTTGTCAGATAGGAGTTTCTCTCTTCATCTTGACCAGTACTCTTCTGCTGCGTCCCGTACCGCAAGGCTCCATTTTGGGCCCCATTTTATTCTCGTTGTATATGCTTCCCTTGGGGTCTATTTTTAAAAAGTACAACATCTCCTTCCATTGTTTTGCAGATGACCTTCAGATCTATCTGCCCATAAAAACAAACAGTGATGCCTCTATCCAGGCTTTGTTGAACTGTCTTAATGATATACAATCATGGATGGAGATAAACTTCCTTAACCTGAACAAAAATAAAACAGAGATAATTTTATTTGGAAAAACTAATTTGTTGGATGGCTATAATAGTGCCATCGGTCCTTTGGCATCTTACTGTCGTCCTGCTGTGAGGAAGCTTGGCGTGATATTTGATGCTGTTTTTAACCTGGATAAACAGATCAGTTGAGTTGTCAAGACGAGCTTCTTTCAATTAAGACTCCTCAGTAAGGTGAAGGCCTACCTCCCTCCACATGACTTTGAGAGAGTAATTCATGCATTTATCACGTCTCGTTTAGACTATTGTAACTCTCTGTATGCTGGACTTGACTAGTCTTCACTGCACCGTTTGCAGGCTGTTCAAAATGCCTATTAACAGGGAAAAAACACCGTGACCACATCACACCTGTACTGGCTTCCAGTCTCTTTCAGGGTCCAGTTTAAAATGTTATTACTCGTTTTTAAAAGTCTTAATGGCCTGGCACCATCCTATCTGTCTGAGCTACTACACCCCCACACCCCAGTCAGAGCAATGAGGTCTACCAACCTGTTGCTGCTGGAGGTTCCGAGATCTAGACTTAAAAGTAGAGGTGATAGAGCCTTCTCGGTGGCAGCCCCCAATCTGTAGAACAGCCTGCCACTGCATATAAGAGCTGCTCAGACTCTTGAGCATTTTAAATCCCTGCTGAAAACCCATTTCTTCTCACTAGCTTTCAGCACTAGTTAAGCATGAGATCTTGGTTTTAGTACTATTTATTTTATCTTGATTTGTTTTTTATGATGTTTTATTGGTCATTTTATTACGTTTTATTGTTTATTTTTACCAGGTGTTTTAGAGAGGGATGTTTATATTTATTTTATTTCTATTTGTTTATATGTATTTACATGCATAGCCTGTACAGCACTTTGGTCAACTGAGGTTGCTTTTAATGTGCTATAGAAATAAACTTGACTTGACTTGACTTGACTGTAATACTGTGATAAAGTGAAACCACAATATTTTCTGAGACATAGCACTGTGAAAATCTCATACAGTTGCAACCCTAGTGTGTAGAGTGTCAAACACATAGCATTATTAGAATTTAAGCCCATGACGTGTCCAAAAATGTTTTAGCATATTGCTGGTATTTCCGCTCTCACTTCAAATGATCATTTTAAAGACACTACAAGCAGTACTGTTGCCATCTTCCTTTGTGAAATGCCACACTTTGGAAAAAATCTTGCTCTCTGCCATGAATCCTTGTTGCAAGTTTTCAGCAGCATAGATGCGTGAGTTTGATGTCACTGTTGCAGTTAGCAACCGTCAAAAAAAGATGCCAGCATCAATAAAACAAATGGATAAACTCGGAGCCATGTGTTTCTGACAGACTGGACAATTTGGAACCTGTTCTCAACTGGAACCCATTGATCCCATCCCTACACTTCATTCCAATTAAACTAAATTTGCACATACACAAAGCTGGTGCAACAGCCTGCTTAAGCTTTGTCCTTTTAGTATTAAATCCCCTGAAAACTTGCATTCAAGTTCTTAATATTTCTGCTTCATGACATCAACTTTTTCCAACTGAAAAAGTGACAAAAAATGTGTTAACTTTGGCAGACAAAAAAGCATGCTATTGTAGGATCCATCTATCACAGTGACAAGCTGTTTGAACAAATTTGTTTTCAGGTCCTTTACACCTAAATTAAAGAGTAGGCTACATAACAAAGACCAGATCCACTGATTTCAGACTGCGATGTAAACAATTTACATTAAACTATTGTACAAGTATACTAAATATCAACATAAATAGTGCCACGACATGTTAGTGTCAGTTCAGCCACACAGATTCAACTCGTAACAACATCCATATTGTATATAAACTGTGGCTTGCTATATGTCTGCATATACCAATTTTACACAATGTTCCTATGGCAAAAAGAAGAATTATAAAGCTGCTCTCCCCTCTCTGAACATATTCCCCACTGAGCCAGTGACCTCTATTTAGTTTTTCTGCTACAGCCTACTTTTATGGGCATTTAATTACTGCCAGCTGATAACTGCAGTCGTAAAATCCTCTAACATATGCCCAAATCCTCTCTCAGTTCCTCCCTGGACTACAGAGCTTAAACACTGACACAACTGCAGCCACTGACACATTCTGAACAGCACCAGGCTAACAAAGGCAGACATGTCCAGTGTGATGGGTGTTGTATCCTGGAGAATCCTCTCCTGTCCTCATTATTACCTCTCCCTGTTCCTCCACCGCTGTGTTCATCATCTTGCCACCAAGACACTGTTGGTTTCTGACTGCTTTTAGCATCGGACTGCTTGTCAGAGCCGCCCAAATCCACCGAGTCATCTGAAACAGACTGACAGGAAATCAGGTTTTAGTAAAGAGAGATGCCTCCAGGATAGACTGTGTCAGACTGCAAACCATGTGTCAGATACTCATTCTTCTATCAGGCTTACAGCACAAGAAAAGTTAACATCCAGTGTGTGTCATTATGTGTAAGAGAGTTGGTGTGGACTGGACAGATAGACATGTGCTTTCAGTCAGCTGCCATGTTTCTACTGGTGAGAATTCAGAATGACTTATTCCAGTCTAATCTCTTTGCAACTCTGAAGCTGTTTTGTTCGGACCTAGTAACATTTTCATGATCCTGTCAACCTGGAAAAAGTCTAAACTGAATGCTGTCAGATTAGCAACAAGACCATAGCAACACATGCAGAGAAAGATTTAGGCATGTGACTGGCAAAGGACAAAAAACAGTAAAATATACAGGAGAAAAATCTTTACACATGATTGAACCAGTCAGAGCGTCATTTCCCATTCTGTTTAAAAGTCAGTTGTGCCTGCACCTGGCACACTGCTATTTATGTAGGAAATAGGACAAATTGTAGAAGCGAGCAGTTTTCTGCTGAAAGTAACAGTGCATGCCGGCTACATACGACCAGATATCCTCTCCCATTCATTGAGTATTGGAAGCAACTGATTCACAAAGCCCTCTGGGATACCTGTGATGCCGCTCAAGCTGGCGGCGCAACAAGAGGGCATGCCAATTTGAAAAATTCAACGGTGCTCACATCAAGACAGCCAATGAAGTTGCAGCCTCAAGCAACCAGCGGTGCAGGGCGGACATGAGTTTAGGCAAAGAGATTGCATATAGTGGGCATGCACCGTAACGCAGTAAAAGCAGTTATGTCACTGCAGCAAATATCGTGGAACATTTAAGCAGCAAAACTTAAAACTGTAGTTTCAAACTTAACAGACGAATCAGAACTAAACTATTAGCTTTTAAACCAGTCAGTGAAATTACGCTGCTCTTTGTGCGTAAATGTGCACAGCATCTCTCTTAATGTGGAGTCAGACAGCAGCTTTGCTCTGATCTCTGCCACGTTCACATTTTAAAGAATGTCATAATATTTTCCTCATTATGATGAATTATTTCAACCACCAAAAACTCATCCTGACCTCCCTGTGTGTATAACAAGCAGAGTGTACATCTGTTACAACCCCGCCTATGTAGGTGCATCTTACTATCTGAATAATCAGATCATATTTTAGACCAGGTTTTAGTTGGTTAATGGTGCCATTTCTACTTCCTCAAAAGAGCAACATGCCAACAATGTGCCTGACCTCACCTCATTTTAAGACTTACATGCCCATGGGTGCACAAAAAATACATTTGCTACTTACACTATATGTGCATTTGCTTGAAAATGATAACTGTGTCAGTCTGAAGCTAGCAATGACCATCACGCTGCACTGTGCGCTGCTTTGCACTGTGTTTATGATATGGCCCCTATATGTGTCTTGCCTTCAAAAATTACTGTAATATGATTATTTTTATTCTAGTCAATTCTAATCTTAAATTGTTTTTTTTTTTTGTCTTTTTCCCATCTCAGTGTCACCGAAGTAAAAGAGGTTAAAAAAGCCATCATGCTAATCTGACCTGCACTCTTTCCTTGTATGAATATACAGCAAAACTCTTAACATACAGCATGCCATCATATAGGAATCACGTGAGTCCCATCTTAAGCTCCTGTCATTCAATGCATGTGCACTGTCAGTTATTATTATACAGGCAGCAAAATGATGTGGAAATGTATTAGTGGATTCACTGTGAGGAGCTGAAGTGAACTTCCCTCACACTCACAATGGTCATTAATTGAGGCTCCAACAGAAAATTCTCAAAATCCTCCAGTGATGCAGCCTCTTCACTGTTCTGTCTTTCTCTCTCTGGTTCATTCCATAAGTGTCCCATCATAAATAGAGCCACAAGGAACATAAACCTAAAAGCCATCCATGTCTACAGTAAATAACTGAAAGGCACCACTTTAACAGACAGATGACAACAGCACTGTCGGCGTGTTTTATGTTTGAAAAGGGCCTACGAAGCACTTTTAAAGATGAATCACTCGTTCCATAACATGCAACCCTAAATAGAGAGCATGATAATCTATAAACAGTACCACAGCAGCCTGCACATGATATTACATTACCTCCTTCAAAAACAGCTCAAACTGCTCATCCAACTCTTTCTTAGTCAGTCGGCGAGACATACTGGTACTTTCCACTCCATCAGCCAATGGGAACACAGACGCCTAACATAAAGACAAAAAATAAAATTAAGATAAAACATTGGGGAGAGAAATTATACTTAGTATGTGAAGCATATTTTAACACAGGTATCATCATGTTCTTTCCATCATGGATACCAATACAAAACACTGGCAATCAAAGAGATGGACAGTCAGTATCTAGTGCAGGTATTCAAGTGGGTTAAAGAAGAAAATTTTAGTGTCTGAATTAACACACGTTGATTTAAACAGTACAACTAGTACATACTACAGTTAAATTATACGTTACATTGCTTCACTGCTGTAAATCAATCTTCATATGAGCCTCAAAGTTCATACTGACATTGGAAAAAGTAATGTGAGAAAAACGGCCATTTGTATATCAATTACAGCGTGTATGAGCCGCTGTTATGACATTTTTCAAGTTACTATTTCCTTCATTAGCTAATATGCAACACACCAAGGAGCACCTGCTACCATTACAGGTCTAGTTCTACGAGGGATCCCAAATGTTCTGAACTCAAAATGCTGCGCCTTTGATGCTAGCGGTCACTGTAAACCATTCATAAAAAGGTCACAGATTACGGAAATAGATGGCTGCTGGCTCATACACATTATGCCGAGTCTTACCGATCAATAAAGCAAAAACAGTGCACCATAACACTGCCATATCTTCTTGTTGGAATTTGGAAAAAGCTTTTAAGACAAAACGGGACGTTGTCAGACTGACATTGTACAGATAGGATGAAACAGTGCCACTTCCGGTTGAGACTGTCAAAATACAGCCGCACCCAACTTAATCGACATATTCGGGGTGTCAACCTAACTCTTTCTCGACAAATATTTGTATTCACCCATTATCAACAAGATGTGACTTTGTCAAAAAATTTCATAGTTTTCCCTACTGTCAGTGTGTAACTTGGCGCAGCACAAATGGTAGTGTTTATTTTGAAGGAAGTATCGCTCTACTTCCGGTGTTTCTCTGAAAAAATTTGACACAGCTAACAGTTGCCCGTAGCTAAGTAGTTTATCTCCTTAGCTAGTAACGTTAGCTGGCTAGTAAAGGGAGCAAACTTTTGCCCACTTGATGCGGAATACGCACAACATTTTCATTAGCGTACATGTATCACTCTTACACCGACAGGACTCACATAAAAGACTCGACGTTGGTGACTCTCTCAGCCAAACACTTGTTGAACGTCCCTTTCTTTTAGTTTGTCGATTTGAGTGTTTGGCAGTTCCCGCAACACCAGCCGGGTGACAAAACCAGCCTGATTGGCTAGAAAGAACTACGTCGGGAGAAATGTTAACCAATGGGCTGACGGGTAGGTTGAGAGGGGTTTGTACGTGAACTGATCAGGAGCTACATACCCGCCTCACGGCCAAAAGTATGTGGACAGAGCCACAGCTCTGCTGGTGTGCAACACACACAAAAAATACTTTGTTTTATTCACTCCGAATGGCCATTATCATGCTATTCTGATGGTGGAATACATTTATTTAATATAAACCAGAGGCGGTGACTTGAGGCACATGACTTGGACTGGAGTCAGACTCGACAGTCAACACTTAATTTCCCAGATCCACTTTGTTTGAATCAGTCCAACATCATCCAATCTAGTTGCAGGAGAAAACCATGAAGAACTTTGTTAGAAAACAGACAGAGGCTCAACAACCTTGTTTTAGCAAATAAATCCAGATTTTAAAAAGCATTCGTGACTTCAGCAGATTTAATATATTGTACTATATTATAACTATGTTATTAAAATGACATTACATTTGGTGAAGTGTGCATTAAGACTTGTTTATGACTTGAAATTTAACTCTTGGGACTTGACTTTGGCCTGATCAGTTTTGACTTGAGATTTGACTCGGGACTTCAGTGCAAAGACTTGCTTGTGACTTGCAAAACAACAACTTGGTCCAACCTCCGATACAAACTGACCACCAGAACCCAAATTAATAACACAGAGATAGTTCTAGATATTCCAGAAAACAGGAGGACATTCAAAAAAATGCCTGTATTGTAAATGAATGAACTGAAATATAACTGAAAGGACCACCAATCAACACAGTAGTATGTCTTTTTACAATTTGTCTCCTTCTCTTTTCCTTCACCTATGAGTGTTACTGTTTATGCATTTAGTTATAAATTTACTTGTAAAGTTGATGTGACAGAGGTGACATAGAGCTGACAATAATTGTTGGTTGCAGCTCACATTCATAGTGTGACCAACTGATAATCGAATGATTGGGCATATTTCTTCATATGTATGCTGTCAGTTACCCAATTTAAAGATGATCTGTGACATCATCACATATTTTCTGTATAGCTGTGTGCTCAAATGTCACCTTTCCCTGCTGAAGACCATATGTGATCAAAACAGTTTTCCATCATGTCCACGTGGACTAAAAGGAGAACTGACAACTAGCCAGAGTGTGAAAGTACTTTTTAAAGCCTTCTTGCAGATAATAAGAGTTGATGATTGCCTTTACTGTGAAACTGTTCAAGACTCATATGTGAAATTATACTCTGCTATCACTCTGACCTAGGCTGACAGGTCTTTTCATACAACGACAAAAACAAGTCTAAGTTATTCTGATGTTGTCAATTCGTTGCAGCCTGATACAGCTGCATTTTTTCCTCCTGAAGAGTTACACAGAATCAGTCATTGGTTAAATCAGTGATTTAGCCAGTATCAATTATTTAGCAGTAGCTGTGTGGCATGGACTGCAGTTCACAGCTGCTGCAGGAGTCATATTTTCTCCACTTGGTGGCAGTATTGAGCTGAGGATCAGTCCATCTCTTCCCCGTGTCTGTGTGCCTGGAAGGGCAGTCCGTCACCAGAGATCAGTAGTAATCTAATAAACTCTGCCCTGCTCGCTTTTCTCTTTCTTTCAGAGGTCAGGGCGGATCCATATAAACTCTGTTTTCACCTGCTGCCTCTCTATACGGCTCTGTCCCTTATAACCTTGCACACACACATCCAACACTCACACTGTGTGTCAAGCATACAAGGAGGAAAAGAGACATCATATAGGCGGTTCTGTTTTTTGCTGATCTGTCTTGTGTGCCTTAAACCTCTGATGGTCAGGTATCTGCGGATCACAGAGCAAACATAATGTCAGACAGCCACTACTCACACAGTGTCTGGTTATTTTGTACTTTTTTGGAAATGAAGCTCATGTGTTTGATGGTTGTTATGATCTGAACATAGAATAAAGACAAAAGAAACTGAATATTTTCTGAGCAACAAGTCCTTTAACCCATACAACAACATAAATGGTTTGCTCCTACCCTCAAATATGACCCACAGAAATGTTTCCCTTATTGGTGCCTCAACACATCCTTATTCCTTAACAACAGAATAAGTCATAAGGAAAATGTGACAGTAACACATTACAGTAGGCTTTAGCAGTAACAAAGTAATATAACCAACAGAATTCTGGGTGATATTATTACATTTACAATGTCACGTAACACGTTAGCACCCGAAAAAACGTTCCTTTATCCACACTGATTCACACTGCTCCACTTTTACCACTGTGCCCCCAGAAAAAAACATCCCCCAAAGGTTGTTGTGTCTTGCCATGTCACAGCAGACTACATCATAGATGGGTGCCAGTGATCAGCAAAGCTGGGTCATGCTGTACTGTGTGTTATCATGATCAGTGTGTTTCCATTAATATCATGATGGAGAACATCTCATTTTCCTTTTGTGTTCTAAGACTGCTAGAAAGCTTTGGGGATTAAGAGCTGGCCTCTGCCTCATTTTTTTCCTAGTCCCAGTGATCAACACATCTGACCTGGATGATGTTAGTATATGTTGGATGTGTTTCATAGGCCCACAAATATTGATCCATATCTTCTAATAATCTGACTTTGATCTTCTGCCTGACCCTCTCTGTGTCAGAGTCTATTCATTTATTTTGAATGGTCTATGCTATTTATTTGTTCTGTATTATCATGCTATTATTAATATAAGCAGGGGTTTTAATACCAAGTGGTCATCACTGTGTGTGAATGCATGAATGGGTCAAACCTGCACAGCACTGGATTCTTCTGAGGTCATTTTGGGGAAGTAACGAAAAAGTAAAGTAATAAGTAACTTATTACCCTTCACAGAGACTAACATTGTAGTGTAACTAATTACTTTCAAATAAAGGTAACTAGTAAAATGTAATGAATTACATTTTGAGAGTAACTTCCCCAACACTGCAGGTTACACAGTACTATTCTCACAAAATGGCGTTCTTGTCCAAAAAATTTAACATGGTGTCATGTCAACTTCACATTCTCCATGTGACTGTAATGGTCACAGTTTTAAATGTGTAGTTAATACTGTGTCAGCGTATCCTCATACAACACATGATCATAGATCAAAGATCATAGTTTGGCTTAAAATAATTACTGGTTATGTTAGTTACTCACCTAAAATAACGTTGTGTGATATGCTTCTTAACATACTACATTACATGGTAAAAATAACTCAACACTGATTTTTCCCAGCCAGCCACCAAGGTCATTAGATGTTAACATTTGGTTGAATTTAGACTGTGATATCTGGTGACCATAATTCAATGTCAGGATGTTGAATGCAACTGACAGTTGGATGTAGAATAGTGATGGAGGCTGATGTTAATATTTTGTTGGTTGTTACGTAACCAAAATATGTCTTCCAAATATCTCAACCCAACATTATCTTGAAGCAAAATAACAACATTAGTCATAAGATATGGAGAACAAAACCCAACATTTGCGAAAATTTGACTGACGTCCGGTGCCAGCTGGGTTGTTTTCACACTGGACACAAACAGAAGTCTCCTGGGTGAAAAGTCCTTTTTGATTGACCCACCCATCCACCCAGCCCTTCTCCTTACGTGGACTCTCTTGCTCTTTATACTAATTTACCTGACATCCTTCTTTGCTCCTGTCATAATTACGACATCTATTGCACGTCTGTCCGTCCTGGAAGAGGGATCCCTTATCTGCAGTTTTTCCTTATCTGCTGTGAGGGTCCTAAGGACAGAGGGATGTTGTATGCTGTAAAGCCTTCTGAGGCATATTGTTATTTGTGATATTGGGCTTTATAAATAAAATTGATTGATTGATTGATTGATTGATAATTACTATGGCCACTAGAGGTCTCTGCCTAACAATAAATGTAAATGTGGGTCGTAATGAGCAGCTTGTATAAATGACGATGTGTTTGTATTTTGGAGGAGGACGGTCTCTTTGCTGGGGAACTAGATAACAGTACTTTTTCAATTTTGTGAACTGTATGAATGTCACAGCAGGAAAAGCAGAGCTGTAAATATGTTCCGTTTCAGGGTCCTCAGCGTCACACAGCTTAAGGTATGGCCAAATTGTGTTTCCTGTCCTGTCCTGTCATTGTGATGTCCAGCCACCTCATGCCAAATTGCAGGTCAGACTTCATCTTTGTTCTCTAACACAGTGGATGTGCTCATTCGACCAATACTGCTGCAATGTGTTTGGAAAAGTTGTTTTTATTAAGTTATTCTAGCATGTTTTCTCATTATATTTATTATCATGGAGTCACAAAATATGTTGGATTTCTACAGTTTATCCAACAGCATGCAGTAGTCAGACACATCAGCACCCAGGCCACAAAATGCTGCTGACAGGGTAACATCATTACTGTAGCACTGGCATCTGTACACTTTTACATGGGATATTTAAATATATATTAGTGGTTATATTCATAACTGGAACTGAAAGTACTCAGTAGTGATTTTATTATCACATCTCCACAAAGTTGGTGGACTCACATGAGACAGCACTTTTTAAAGATAAACTCCCTTGTAGTTACAACATCCACTAATCCTAAAATTGAGCTGAGATTAGATTTTGGGTCAATCCAGTTCACAGGCAGCCTCACGGAGCTGCTAGCATGGCTGCAGAGTCTTGTTAGGAAAAGAGGTACAGTTTATTAAAGAATGAAAGACAATGAAAAAACAATAACTTTGAATTAACATACATCAGGAAACAAATGAATTTTTTTTGCATAAATAGATCTATTATTTATAATAATAGATCTATTTATGCAAAAATAGATCTATTATTTATAATTACTGTGCTTACACACTGACCTGAACACTTAAATTTTAATCGCGATAGTGTTGATCTGTGACCAGTTCTTAAGTGCAAATGTGCATTGTGTAGTTATGATAAAATACTCCTGACCTTTCATTCATCAGAAGGAGTCAGATATAAATATATCCCCTGCACTTCC